GTGAGGCGGCACCTGGACTATGGGTGTAGACAACTGTATTTGTATTCAATTAGTGGAAGATCAATAAAAATATTATTTGTCGCAAAATTACAAAATTACAAATGGAAAGAAGTTTCATGTCCGACATTTCTGCACCACATTCGTCTAATATCAAGGGGAAACGCCATGACGCATTTACTGCACTGATAAGAGGGGCCACAATCTGACCACACAGCTCCATGTAAGATATTTGGCAGAGTGGCTTAAACTTTGAACAGACCACTTTTCATAAACGGAATATAACGTGAAAGTATTGAAGCAATTTCACATAATGTAGGCTGGTCCCGTTTTTATTCTCTTCCCATTTTCAAATTACTTCACAATCATTGTGCATGGGAAAGAGAGACATGTGACTAGGCCAGTGCTTCTATAAAAGAGTATCTCTTATAAAACCCTATACCAATAAGCCGATGACTTTGCTGGTGAAAAATATTGTCTCAGAGGTCAATCTTCAACCTTTTAATATATTGAACTTTGTTGAATTGAGTTCCACTAAACTGTGGTGGATGTCGCTAGCAAGGCAGGAAATGCTAACCCTTACAGCACACCTGGTGCTACCCCTCCACTGGTTTTATCTACTCGTCATCCCTCTCGGAGTATATTGTGTTCTGTTTATTCCACCAAAAAGATTTATGGATTGAAGGGTTTGATTAATACATTAAATGGATATTTGTTAGTAGTTATTGTTGAATATCCATTTATAAATAGTTAGTTAGATCAAAATACAACAATAGGTAGCCCTGACTCAAATACAATCTGTTTTTTTTTTTAATCAATCATGACAAACTAAGACTTTTGTTGATTCTGATCCAGTACTCGTCCAGACCCAAGAGACAACTGTCTTTAAGAGACCGATTTGGATTATTCTCCTGCTTGATCTCTTTATTTTCTATTCCTTTTTTAAAACTAGAATTCTTCCATGTGATTTTTGCATTAGTCAATAAAATATACCACTTTAAACTAATATCGCACTGTTTGACACAGATTCAAATGCATTTGCTCAAGTTGTCAACGTAAATATCTATATTTGATCATGAAATATTTAAATAACACTAATGGTAATAACAATAACAAGAGCAAATATTATAAATGGACCCGGTCCCCAGAGCATAGTCTAAATTGGTGGGAGATTTCATCGTTGACAGAGGAGGCTGTAGCTCAATCGGTTAGAGTGACTTCTGACGTCATTTTTCACCATGATACCAAAGTTTTCTGTTCTCATTACGTCATTTGACATCGCCTAGAGTTAGTTCTTAAATAATCTGATCTTGAAGTTTGGCCGAGTATTTGCTAATAGAAATGATTTTCGGATACATAGTAGATCAATACTGGCACCTCTCTCGTTTGAAAGGGTATTTCTAATTAAATGGTTTAAATAAACCCCCCAGTACGAAGCTATTTGGATAAAGTAAATCAGAACCCACTTATGGATAAGGTTTAAACAATGATGGTAACTGGCCCGCTCCAACATTTGCAACTACCGAGATTCCGCACTGGAAATAATATTCATGTATAGGACCTTGACTTTTACAGAAAGGAAAGACCAGATAAATTGCGACCAGGAAACGTATAAAACAAGATTTATGTATTAAAAACATTCTTTCTAATTACAATAAAAGTTGTAATAGCTGTATTTATTGCCCTCTCGAGACCAAGTATCATACCGTATAAAGGTGTCCATTGATATTTTATATAATGTTGTTTCCATCATTAACTTAGCTCATTAATAAATGTCGTTAATGACAAATCTACATTCCTCTGTTGACCTTAATTGCAGAAATTTTGACTTTCAAAGCTAGGTGTTTTGTCCTCCGATGACCTAATGTCAACGATCTTGGCAATTACGCACAAAATTGTCATTGCACTTTGACAAACCATTGTCATCGCACTTAAAGATATACCATGTTGATCAAATTTAGATGCACTAACGTCATCACCCTTACATGTAGTAGACCATTAGACTAATACTAGCCTACCTTATCATTTAAACTAATGCTTCTTTCTCCATTAGACTAATACTACCATCTCCTTTAAACTAATGCTACCTTCGCCCTTTTAAACTAATGCTACATTCGCCCTTTTAAACTAATGCTACATTCGCCCTTTTAAACTAATGCTACCTTCTCCTTTAAACTAATGCTACCATCTCCTTTAAACTAATGCTACTTCCCCCTTAGATGGGGGTATAAAATTAGTGTACCCAATTCTGGAGCTTGAAGCTCAAAGTGATAAAGATTGTTCAAGCATGCAAAATCCTCTTTAAAGGAATCGATTCGAAGTTTATTCGACTGATAAATTTGTTTAATGTCCGAAAATAGTCAGTAATTACCTACATTTATTACACATGGCTTGTTGAACTAATGACCGCTAGGGTGGGGCGCTGACACGTAAAGATTCATCAGATTTACAAAATGTATATTGTTCAATAGTGGAAACAGGCCTAGCTTCATTTACACAATTCCTTTTAAAAAGTTTTGCTAAAAACGTTTTATCCGGCGGTTGATGAGACAAGAGTCATATAGTAACTACAAATCGCTACAAAGTAGTGGTAATGTTAACTGAAGACAAAGATCAGATTAAAGGGTCAGATGCACAAGTTTTTGACCAATCATGCTTTTGTCTCAGAAACGCGCATTTTTTAGCGAAGCCAATCAGTAATAGTGTGTCCATAATTATCCTCGCTTGAATGTTGAAATGACGACTCGTCAATTTAAGATGCTCTGTGATATATAGAAAAGACATAATATGGATATAGTGAGTAAAATTTGACTAGTTTGAGTTATTTTTATATGAATTGTGAATTGACTACTTACAAATATTCAAGACTCAAATCAACCCACCAATATGCCGCAGCTGTCCCTTTAAAGTATGGGTTCGAATATCGGCACAATTCATTGAAAAACACGTAAAATATCATTTTAAGTATAATCTTAACGGTCAACAATCCAGATTTAATTTTTTTCACCAAAAGGTAGGCTGCACATTTCAGTTTTGCTATCCAGGGTCATAATGAAACCAGTCGCAGAGTTCCAAAAACAAGAAAACAAACTTAAGGTATGTGACCAAGTTTTAAAAGGTAACCATTTCTAGTTATCACTCACGATGACATAATATAAACCTTAATTTGGATTCACAGACAAGTAAGACTTGTCGGTTTTCGGACTAAGATGTAATCAATTGTTTCTTTTGGCTTCAATGGAATTGACGATTATTATGTCATAATCTCCAATTGCGGCACACACATAAAGACAGTAAACTCTCTTAAAAGACCTTCAAAATTTTACTTTTTTTAATTTTAAAACCCTGCGGATCACAAGAAAAATATTGATAGGGAAAAGTTCTAAAAGCTACTTACGTTTCATCATTAGAATAAACAGTATTAGTTAAGAAAATAAAACCTGTTTTAAAACTGTTGTGTATATAGTGTAACGATGTAGATATATTATTGGTTGGAATAACCAATAGTTATAAACCATTAACTATTCAACTATAAGAGAAATCAACTGATTGGTGGACTACAGATCGATACCAATAGATCATTAACAGATCGACTGTTGTTATTTTTCTTTTATATCTCTGTTTAACATCTAATGAATAAAGTGGTGTTGACACTATGAATATTTCTCTCACATACCTAGTTCCAGCACCATGATAGAGAAATACTGGCATGTGAAGACAGGTTTTTGCGAGTTGGTAAAATTTTGTTGAATTGTTCAAAAAAGCATTGCCAAGGTATTTTTTGTTGAATGATGTTATAAAAAGGTTGACCAGTGCATAGCGAAGAAAAGAACACTGTTCACCAACATTCTGCCAACATCAGACTGGTAATGTGAACTACCTTAATTAATTAAAGATGCGGTGACACTTATCAACATCGCCCCAACATTTCCTCTTCTTGTTTCCAATACATTGTTTAAGAAATGTCGGCAGTTGAGGTCAGAGTTGCTGCTTTTTGGTAAAGTGGTCGAGATATTTTGAAAAAAGAATTGCAAAGGTATTTTTTTCTTGGAAGATTGTTTTCGTTGTCTCTGCCTCGGGGAGAGGGATAGTCCGGTGCCGAACAACATCTTTTGTTCTCTGTCCATTTCTAAGGCTAAGTCTGTCTGGAACGGATGGTTGAGACCGAGAGCGAGACGAAGACTATAGATAAAAACAAAACATTTTATTCAAAATTGGCACTGTTGAAAAAGCCTTCAACATATTTACATTTTATTTCAAAATCAATCCACGCAAGATAAAGGGTTGCACATTTAACCTGTACTGAGAAAAAATTATATTCCTTGATTAACGGGAGGTAACTCTAATTTGACGTTAACAATTCAGACAACAATAATATAATAACTGCGACTTAAACACTTTCTTTAACCATGTATTTATAAAATTATCAAAATAACAGTTTGTTAATTCAAATAGCTCAAACACAAATACACAATCAGTGCTTTTTTGCATTAATATCTAACTAACTAAATCAAACTAGTATCAAACTGCTATGAAAAGATAAGTTTCTGTCTAACCGATTTGAACACCTGGAAATAAATATTCTTTTAAACACCTGTTGTTTACTTATTAAAGATTACTTATTAAATCAAATCTAAGTATTTTGGCTCCTGCTTATAAAGCATAATTTTTATGTTCAGAGGATATTTAGCTCTTAGATGTGATTTCAGCTTGCAAGATAAATAGGAGGTGAAAAATCATACAATCTTGCTCATTTCAATACACAAAAATCTCAATCATAGACTCTTTTGAGCTCCAGCCACACATGACAGGCAGTTTTCTAATAAACCAACCCTCCATCAGAGTTATCATTTTCAGTTGAGTACCTATAAATTAAAGTACATATTGATAAATTACACTGGTTTACAACAATTCATTCATTATCATCTTTCATTTCGAAATTTAGTCTTCATCATTCAAATTGCACATGAATTTCCTGAAGATATCAACAAGAGTAGGCTGTGCTAATTTGGATAATAACGTCTCTTTAAAGTCCTGTATTTCTTTAACATATATAAAGCTTCAAGTTCTTTTACAATATATTGTCCACGGCCTAATAACAATTCAATTTCTTTTTCATCTCTCACATCCTTGTTTTTCAAGAAGGCTGCCTTTAACTTGCCCCGAAAATAGTCATAGCCTTTAGGATAGTCTTTGCCCAGATGAAGAAGGGTTTTATACAGTTGGATCACTTGAGGTCTCATATTTCCAGCCATTTTGAAATTCTCCGATCTGCCTCTGTTTATTTTTTCTAGAAGACTACAACATTGGGAATCTGGAAAATAATATATATTTCATCATACTAAATTCATTCAAAAGGTTGGAAGAAATAGAATAAAAAAAAAAGAGGTAGGCCTACTGATGTCATGAACTATACATAAGATGTACCAGATGTATAAAGTTTAATATTGAAAATATGGGTGAATTTGCCCTGTTGCAGTGGAAAAAAGTCTCTCCTCGGGCATGCTGCGGTCTGTCTCCTTATTCCTAATAATTAGTAGGACAGTTGCAGCGCGTTTAACACTAAAACTACATGAGTTCTCAAATTTATCAAGGAAAGCAATGCAGAGTAGGGATAGGAGGACTGGGTAGGTTTAGGGCTGCTAAACTGTTTATTAATCCTCATAATTGATATTATTATTGGTGTTGTTCATATTGAGCTACTCTATTTTGGATGGATTTTAGATATGGATTTAGAAACTGTGGCTATGCCATTGTTTATTCTTTATAGTGCTGTTCTAACACGGACTCATCTTTTCTGAACAGTGATAAATAGATCTCAATGTCAGTGACTTTCTCATGGTCGATAAATAATGATAAATCATATGATAAGCAAGGAGACGGGCCGAATTCAGAAGTTTCTCATTTTTATTCCATGACAATAATTGCCCGGTCTAGGATATCGACTTTTTGTAGGCCTTCCATGTTGACTTTTGGTATAGACCAAGCCTGGGCAATTCAAGCAATACTCCCCATTTCTCCTACCTGGAGCAAAGTGTTTAAAAGTCAGAGAGAGTCAACTTTATAAGACACTCTCATCAGTCATGTTTGTAAACATGTCACAACGGAATTCCCTCACATTTCATTGGATAATACTGGGGAATACCATATTACTCCGCGTTACTAAATAGAACTTTTAACATTACATCATTTTTACTATTTTATTTCATTGTCTTATACCAAAATACAATAAAGATTTAAAAATTCTCTTTATGTACCTATTATGGAAAATAGAAACTCCATTTTGTCTATCATCTTTTCGTGATATATTCGTAATTCAAGTTTTACTTTCAGGAAACACCATATGTTCGGTATGGTGTATTTAGTTAACGTGTGTACCGGTCGAATACCATTTGATGGCCACGACATCCTATTGGCAAAGTGGAAGTAGATCAGACCCCTCATTCCTCAAGTGTTTTTTGCATTTCTAAGACGAACTTTGAATTTTACTTATGTTACCGTTACACAAGAATGATAAAGAATACAAATATGGTTGGAAATTTTATGAAACGTTGTCCGGATGGCTTCGGCTGATTTTTTCAGACCAAACATCAAGAAGATTATTTGGATTTCTGATCTTAAATTTGTCTTTTGCCTTTGTTGAATTACTTTATGGAGTATGGACCAACAGCCTTGGATTGATTTCAGATTCCTTTCACATGTTCTTTGACTGTACAGCATTATTGGCAGGTTTGGCTGCCTCTGTGATTTCAAGATGGAGAACTAATGAAGCCTTTTCATATGGTTATGTACGTGCTGAAATATTAGCTGGTTTTGTGAATGGACTGTTTCTGTTATTCATTGCTTTCTTTATATTTTCGGAAGCTGTCGAGAGAGCAGTTGAGCCACCAGAGGTGAAACATGAACGTTTATTCATAGTATCGGTGTTAGGCTTCCTAGTTAATCTTATCGGTATATTTGCATTTCAACATGGCCACTCACACTGCGGTGGTGATCACGGCCATTCTCATGGAGGACATGGCCACTCTAATTCTGCTCCACAGAAAGTCGGGATAGGTTTAGAAGATAGCCATTCACATAGTCATGGACACGGTCATGCTCACGGGGACTCAGATCACGGACATTCTCACGGAAACACAGACCATGGTCACAGTCACGCTGCAACGAGTCACGCCTACAGTCACAAAGAAACGAAGCCCAATCCAGCTCAGTCACAGATCATGGAGGGTGTATTTTTACATATATTGGCTGATACATTAGGAAGTGTTGGAGTTATAGTCTCGTCAGTGTTAATACATTATTTTGGATGGATGATAGCTGATCCCATATGCTCAATGTTTATAGCCGTATTGATAGGTATCAGTGTACTGCCATTGATAAGGGACTCTGTTGGTATATTAATGCAGCGTACACCAAAACAGATTGAACATTCTCTCTCAGGCTGTTACTCTAGAGTCAATCAGCTGGAGGGTGTCTACAGTGTTCAAGAACCACATTTCTGGACTTTATGCTCAGATGTCTATGTTGGCACTATAAAGTTAGAAGTCTCTAGCAAAGCTGATGCGAAATATATTTTAAGCTCCACCCATAATATTTTTACACAGATTGGTGTGAGACAGTTATATGTACAGATAGATTATGCTCCGATGTAAATGCCAAAGGATTTCTTCACAACATTCATTATATCAATGGTCATCTTTTTTTTCATTCTTGTTTAACGGACTCAAATTTACTTAAAGGAAAATATATATTTTTAAAATGACATCACTTGTGGTCTGAGAGTGTCTTCTAGTCGAAATAATAAAAAATTTTTTTTAGAAGTTTTGGTTGATTTTGAAAAGTTTGATAATAAAGAAATAAAAGAAAAGGATGGCCATTCAAAAATTGTCAATTTATTGTACATACATACTTATACATTGTACATGTCAAGCTTGCTTTGGATGTGAAATTATACCACACATGTCATAAAGACATCATTATATAAAAAAAATAAAATGGATGAAGGGAGAAAACTTGTGTGTTTCTTTCTTTGGTGAATGTATCTGATGGGTTATCTTCACTCTTTCCATTTGACAAACTTACATCCTCATGAAGTCTGTGATCCAAGTTTGTTTTTAAAGTTCGTACCCAGGAAAGAATGATGGCTATAGATTTTTTATGATGATCAGTCAAAACTACAGACTATAATACTTGGCAGTTTTTCATCTCGACTTGTATGGTCAATCAAAGATATTTATTGCCCAGGCCCTGGGGTAATCGTAATTGTCATCAGCTGTAATCAATAACAAATTTTTATGTAATCGGATGTAATCTGTAATGAATTATTTTTTCAATTACAAGTAATGTAAATTGCAGTCAATTACTTGCACAAAGCTGCTGTAATCATAAAAACTTGTAGGTTATATTTTACTATTTTCGTTTTAAACTAGATCAATGGGCATTCTGTTTATCTTTCCATTCCAAAATTTTAGGGTTTTTTATAAAAAAAAATTACCACTATGACTGATGAAAGGAGGAAGCCTGGGATCATGTAATGTTATTGATCTCTTTTGAAATTAATTAGATTTTAAACTAATTGACCCCAGGCCTAATTTATGCGCACTAAAAACATAAACAAGAGCTGTTTACTTTGATTTGGGGTAGAATAAGTAGTAATTAGCAGAATATTACAATCCTTTTTTATGTTCAGAACTACTTATCCTATCTCAAAATGAAGTGGACTGATTGTGTTCATGATTGAATTATACCTGGATGTGTATTAAGATCTTTGCCCAACCATAGGTAATTGCTGTTCATTGCCTTTTATGATGATCTGATGTTTTGGTTTTTTTCTCATATGAACAGCATAGATTTTACTGAAAGTACCAAATTGTTTCACATAACAGCTTAAATTGTTACAAAGTGTTCAAATTTTTTTTCCTTAATGAAGCCAGATGTTGCTCGTGAAGTTTGCTGGTGAGCAAAGAGAAATCAAATTTGAACAGCTGTTCAATATGTTGGATTGTTTTTTTAAAACTTGAACAACAAAAACATAGTAGTCTTTTTACAGAGCCAATAAATAGTAATTTAAACTTTCAAATCCAGTACTACCTTGAATTAAAGTGGACCGTTTGTGTGTTTTGAATCATACTTTGAGAATGCAATTTAACAGCAAGATCAGCTGTGAATAGAATTTAAGAGACATTTTGAATATTGGGTTGTCTCTAGCCTTAATTCATTACTATTTCTTAATTAAATCGCTTAATTCCTTTAAAATTACTTCAAACTTTTTATACATCATAGAGTATCTTAAATTGACAAGTCATCATTTTAACATTCAATCGCAGATAATTCTGGACACACATGGATTTCAAGGCTCAAATTTCAACAGTGAGCTGTGAACACTATTACTGATTAGCTTAGCTAAAAAGGTAGGAGATTTTCTGAGTTATATGGTAATGGACACCATATAAAGCAGGCGTGCATAGTTACAATTACAAATTTTTTGCATTGAAGCAGGAAAACAAACTGTGGCCCTTTATTCCACTGTTTTAAGAAAATATCTGGATATTTGGTTAAACACTTTTATTTACAGTATTTAGTAATGAAAAAATTCAGCAAAAAAACAGAGGAAATTAACAAGACATTTATTGCAATCAAACTTTCATTTCTTTTTACTACATAATTTCACAGTATTTGTAATTTCAATGTTCTTCAACGGATTGTAAAGAGGTTTTTCTAGTGTGTATCCTGTACTTGTATAGCTTCCATTTGCACCAATCCAATTTCCTGTTCAACTTCTGTAGTTAGGTTGTTAAATTTTTGACTAGTTCACTATGACAAATAATTTTAATAAAGTTTTCTAGAATTACAGGACCTATAGTTGTCAAACAGGTTATAAGAATGGTGGAACTGGAATCTTTTAAGTGTATCCAATACTCATACAGACTAGATAATCTCTTTACAATCCCTTTTTAAGGACACAACTCCTTTAGGGAATTTCAGTTTAATAGAGACTTTATTCCTTTTTTAATACTACAATGGATTTTAAAGCTACCAAAGTCCCACAACTAAACACTAAATGGTTAAGCCGCAAAATTCTTCTAAACATACATAACAAAATAATATTATGTCACGAAATGCATGAGTGCAAAAGTTCATTTTAGGAAGGGTGCCAAGTATACACACTGTCAAAAGAATTGACAGCATTTCAATTCTATGCATTGAAGAAAATTAGAAATAATTATATTTTACTGCTGAAAGGAATTTGTAATTGTCATGTCATGGTGAAAACTATAATATCAAACTAAAGATTCATTTTAACAGATAATATATCAGAAAAAAATGCAATCCTATTCTTAGACATCAACCAGAAATTAACGCAAATGCAGAAAAATGGAAACAATCACAAATGTAATATTATTTATAGCTAAATAGACTCTCTGAGAAGAATGCAGAGTTTACTAATTCAGTAGCATTATTGATCACGACTTCCAATGGGAAGAATAAGCCAAACATTGACCTGCAAAAGTATCAATGGGGTAGTCACAAACACAACGTGTGATTTGTCTGTAACTTGTATTCAAGAAGCAGCTGGTTAGATGTTAATTTGAAATTCCATTATAATTATAATAGAGTGGCCATGCTATCACATACTTGATAAGAGAGAAATAAGCCATTGGTAAAAAAATAAGATGATATATATTAATATTTGTTGAGTATAATGACTTAAAAACTTCCAAACTCGATCTCAAAACAACCATTTTTATATTACTCAATATGAGTTATCCCCCTTCTGTCAGCTGGCATGCTCTTCAGCCACTTTGTGAATAAGTTCTTTAATTTGGTTACGTTTCTGTGAAACGCTGGTTTCCGTGACAACATGAGATAGTGTTACGTTGTTAATACATTCACAAAATTCACGACATAAATGTTCTGCTATAGAAATTACATATACACCACAATCATAGGCTGAAAGAAACAAAAATTCAATTAAATAAGATAACATTATATATTTGGGGAAGTGCAGTGTGATTTTGGTAATGGTAAGAACTGGTGAGGTTAAAGGCTAAGTAAATTTATGTACTTTTTTGCGAGAAGTTTGAAGACATTTATTATAGCTCTTCTGAATCCTAAATGGGTAAAGTTTGACAAGACAGAACAAGATTTCCAAGTATTGCAATATATATTTTGTTAAAGGAATTCATCATAAACATCCATTGTGACACACTAACAGTGTAAGTATAATATTAGTTACAAATATTCTGATTATCATAGTTAACCCTTTACCAGCTGGTTAAAAGGATTTCCTAATAGCTACGATATTATACATGGATACCATTCTCATATTTGAATTAATATAATTCTATGAACTTACCATTCTTCTGTTGAGGTGAATCTATTTCTATAAACTTCATTCTTCCACGAGGTGCTGAAATAGATTTCAAATTTAAACCTAATGATACCAACACATTTCGAAAGTAACAGCGTATAAAAGCAAATTGTAAAATGAAAAGTTGCAAAGGTTTTCCGTCAAACTTCAACTCAAAAGGTGACTTTGATTAAACCTCTGTGGCAGAGTTTGAGGTAATGGAGAAATGACATAATTATCATTTTTGTAAGACATATAGAAGCAGGAAGGTAAATTTATGTGTTCTTGACATAATTATCATTCGTCCGCATTTCGAGTAAGGGTTGCAATCAAATTCTATCAATATGGTGGAATTTTTAACCATAAGTTGGCATTCTTTGCCGGTGTTTTGCTTCTAAATAGGTTGTATATTACGTTACAGTCTCAGAAACATTCGAGTTCAAATTTGACTTGCGTCAAACCTGAGCTTCAATCAAAGTCATCCAAAGATTATATCAACTTTTATCAAGGGAAATAACTTACCATGAACAAAGGGCTGTAATCTATAAGCCAGTTTTTTAGCAATGTGTTCATTAAGGTGATTATATGAATCAAAATGGTGAAATTCTTGTTTACTTCGGATATACACTAACAAACTCCTATAAATAATAGATACATGCATTCTTACTCAACTACTTTAAAACAAATTTAGAACTGTAGGCTAGAAGAACTTTGAACAGGATTTCTACATGAGAAATTTTGCAGGAATTGCCAGTGTAGAAGTAACCTGTAGAAAAACATGAAATGAGACGTTCAGATCTGCATTTAAATCTGTTGAACATTCAAAATCCAGCTCAGTTATCTGCATAGCATGAAACTCTAAGTAACAACATGATTCAAGTTCTGTTTAATATTTCTAACAAAAAGGTTTATAAATCCCAAACATTTAGAAATTAATTTGTTAAAAAACCTAATTAAAAACTAACCAATGGGTTCCTCCACTATTATCTGTATCATCATTGTCATTAACAGCTAAAAATACAAACTGTTTTAAAGGTAGATTCAATGGTTCTAATAATACTGCTAAATCTTCCACTGAAATGAAACATAATAAAAATGATTGAGTTTTCTTTAATCTAAAGGTGTGGGCACACGAGCGGTCTTGGTCAGAGACTTTTGTCCCCGATTAGAGTCTTGTCTTGGGTTTCAACGACTGGCACGGGCACACAAGGGGACTGTTTGTCTTTCAGACGATAAAACTATCGGAGACAATTATCAAACTTGTTTGATATCATAAATCCTGTTGACGATACGATAATCTTGTTGTGGAAGCACAGGCACACGCAAGATTTTACTCAAGGTTCGAGTTGGGGACAAAAACCTCTGACCAAGGCCTCTTACGTGCACACACCTTAAGATGAAACAGATTATACCGTTGTCTGAGTTTTGTCGACACAGGGTGAATATCATCTAGTTACGGTTTCAACATTTATTCAAAGATAACTCTATCCATGATCTACCGTAACAGCATTCTTCCACATAACCCTTTCAATGTCACATATTAACCCTTTCAACACAAGGTACTCCTCTACCAGCCACAATATTACTTGTTATATAGGCCTACCTAAAGTGGCTGATACCAAGTCACATCATATAGAATTATTATGAATTAATGTTACTTGGAATTCAGATGTTTTATTTTTTTCACACCCAAGTGTTTAAAGGGTTAAACTGTAATAAGGTCTAATAAATCACAGGTTTGTCCAATAGACTTACTGAACAATATTCAATTAACTTACCTGGTGCTAGTTTGATAAACTGAGTTACAGATGGACTGATTAGAGATAGTTTGTCAGCTGAATGATTGAACTGCTCCCTTTCAAAATATCTAAATAAATAGGACATCAAGTATTATTAGGTATAGGCCTATCTGTAGAAAAACCAAACCAAGCTTTCAAAAGTGGCTGCAGCTCCATCTCTAGCTTTAACTGATGGTGTGCAAATTTCTTTTTGTTTAACCAGATCTCTTCATTAAATGGGCACCAATGTTAGCTGCATGACATTGAGTTTGGTGTGTTACTAGATGACAGGTCAATGTCTGCTTCCAGTTAACTGAGAAGAATATGAAGGCTATATGAATACGACAGGCATATTCTAACTCTAAATTGTCATATTCAACCTTGAATACTACAAGGTAATTCAGTTCAAATTATATAATCTATATGTTCTCTTACTGTCAGGCATTTGTGCACATACTCTAGTTTCCATGACCCTCAAGTCCTACACAATACACTCACTGAGTGACTGACTCCATAACACTGTCACTGAGTTACTATGACAAGGGTCATTTTATTTCAAAGTTCATTGAACTTAAAGTAACCACTACCAGACAGTTGATCTACTCCAATAGGTTTTACATTTAAACCTTAGGAATGAATTGAGATAAATAATTTTGAATATGTTAGAAATGTGAAAAGAAAAGAGAGATTGGTCATATTCTTATAAAAAAAAGTTTGAATGAACTTGTGCGTACTGAATTTAGAGCGAGGTCAAATAAAAACAAAACCATCGAGAATTGAGGTGCCAAATTGTTCCAATGAAGCTCATGTTTTAATCGAAAAATGGCTGTACGTCATCGACATCGACATAAAAACTCACTCAAAGCAAAATCCAATTAATCTGTCATTTAACCAATGAGGTCCTTCGAGTAATTTTAAATCAGAAGCTCGCAATAAACTGTCATTAAAGTTTAAAACAATCGCTCCATCGTCTTCTTCCGCCATCGTGGAAAACCTGTAAATTTCGTCATTTCCGCTGTAGACCACGCCCACCGACTAACACGTGGTAAAACAATAACAAACTGCTGTCAAATTATTGACCATGCTGATTATGCATGTTGGATAGTTTTTATCTCTGGTTTGGTTGATCATTTAACTGAATTATCTTATAATCTTTGTGAACTCTCAAAGCAGCAGCAGAATTGACAAGCCTAGTGAACAGAATTCCAGATATCATAATGTCATTATAGTCATAACTGTTCATGACCAATCTAATTCAAATGCAAATCTGTATGAAACAAACCATTCTATTTTATTAGATTGGTACATGAGAGTTATGAAACATCCATGATGGAACAATATTTAACCTTTAATAGTTTGAATGGAGTTTTACGTCCTACTTTTCTGCACCATGTGGGCTAATGAAGACGGGCAACGCCAGGTAGGGTACAATGAGAGAAATTTTGCCAGGACAGTGACATTACCCGGTTCTTTTATAAAACGATCTATTTGTTGAGTAAGGTTGGGTAAGGTTTAAATGATAATTCCCCTCTAGAAGACTGATGAATAACAAAGAATATAAGAAGAAATAAATATTTTATTCATTAAAAAGATAACAATTATCATAATATATGATATTAATTGGAAAGTTGATCAATGGAAGAAATTACAAGCATGAATAATGTTTTATTATTTAAAAATCATCAAATTTATGCATAGATATCATGTTATTAAAAAAAGCCATAAGCCTGAAATATGGCAAAAACACTAGGATTTTGTCGAGTAAGGATATTTCTGAACATCTTGGAAAATTCAATACATAAAAGGTTCTTATTTAAGTCTTGAAATATTTCAGATGTGAACTTATAGCTTTACTATACTTATGCTGTATTTTTTACCTCTCAGATAAATAGAAAGTGAAAAGTTTCTCAGAGGGAAACTCAGGTATATCTTGAACAAGCCACAATGTAGCAGCCAATCTGATTCAGTGATCAACATATAACAGGCAAATCAAATATATTTTAACAATGAAGCACATGTGTCTCTATTGAATTGTGTGGATTACTGTGGATTTTTAAAAGACAAACCAAGTGGAAATTTATACTTCCCACTTAGAAATTTATTACAATACCTGGCCATGTATTCTCGAAACGATCTTGGAGTTAAGATATCCTAAAAGCAGTGTTAGAAATTAAGACCATAGGACATCCTAGCCCTAAGATCGTTTCGAGAATACAATATCAGATTAACAGTGACAAAATTGACAAACTTGTAAAGGAAGACAATATTTTGGCTATTAGATATTCATAAGTATAATATTACAAATTGAGCTCCTGAGGAATGCTGTTCAAAATCATCATGAATAGGTAAGAAAATACTCATGATTTGTTAAAACTCTACATGATATGCTTCATAGACTAGTTAATAATAATAATAAAAAAGACCACTTGGAAGTTTTGCATAGTTAAAATAATCATATTTCTTATCTAGGTCAATGTGGGGACCATAACTTTAAAAAACTTATGACCAAGATCTTATATATAATATAAATTTACATGTCTAAAGTAAAATTTGACCATACCATTTTTAAAAAAAAAATAAGAACCTTGTCATTCCTGATTCCTGGAAGCTTAAACCACACTAGTGATAAAGATGATAAATTTTGAAAAAGAAAGATCAGCATGAAATCAATGACTGGCCAACTTGAAAATAGATAAGAAACACAAGCCTGATGCTTCAATGAAAATAAAAGAGAAAGAAGGCCTAGAGAATTAATCTCTTGTCATGAGACATAATGATCATTCAAGCTAAAAATCTAAAGCTTATTATCAATGGGATTAAAAATTTTATAACAATGCTTGTTATCAATTCTATGGAATTCAAGTATAGATATCAACTATTCAGAGAGATTTCTAAGCTTCATAATAGTAGTAAATTAATTAGATCGTAAGGTCTTCAGCATCTCTTTGGTCCTTTTGCATTCACAGATTCCATAAGAATTCGTATTGTTAGTGAATAATATGATTACACCAATCTTCATTGTAGCACCTAATACCAAATACATAAAATAAATTATAAGCAATTCTTGTCTTTGTATGGATTTTGGGTATACTGAGTCAAATGCTATTTCAGACAAATAGAATATTTGACTCACAGTCATGAAACAGAATATCAGAATGGTGCTAACGTAATCTGTAAGTGAACCAAATCCTCATACAAAGACTAACAAACCTCTTACAATCCTTATAACATACAGTTCCAAATGTTTCCTTTTGTGTATCCTCCACTCTATATTTACCATGTAGAAAAAAGAAACAGGAAACAAAACATTGAGATCTGGAAACTTGATCCGTGTACCCAAATAAATTTGGTAGTTTTGGAAAGACAACAAGCTCTCAAGGCTATAACAATATGAAATTGACCCGGTCATCACATCAAATAATAAAAAATGTCTAGGAAAGCTATTGAGGTCAGCTGTTTGGTCTATCAGTAGAATCTGTTAATCCTACAGCCAGTTCCATCTGCTCTAAATATTCACTTTCCATTGGTAGAAAATAACGACTGCTTGATGATATACTCTCACACTGAAAATACGTATAATTATTGAAAAATAATTAGCTAGAAAAGTAAAGACACTATGTAAAGAAATAACATGGGAGACATAATCTTCTTATCTTATCTTCTTATAACATCTTATTAGTTAATTAAATTAAAATATGTCCTACTATTTCTAAAAAATAAGGTTCAAAGTCATTACAAAGGCCTTCTCAAATGGGATACTGTTAAAAAATTTTGAATCTAGCAAATTTATGTCCAATGTTGACTCAGCTGTGATTTTAATCCTTGACTGAAAAACCAACTCAAAGGATTAGTCAAATATCAAGTTTATTATTACTATAGAGAGTTGCCTAAAATCCCAAATTTGGTAGAACTATGCATTATATTCGGAAATATACGGTAAATAAACTCAACTAAAATATAAATTAGACTTACATTAGTAGTGTTAGTTCTAGTATCGACTATTGGTGAAACTGTGATATCACTACTTGGACTCCAGACTTTCTGTCTAAGTTTTCTAGTAATAGGTAGTATATGACCTTCTGTTGTAAAAACATATCGACTTGCTTCTTTATTTACATGGTTATCTTTATCAAATAACTACAATACAAAATTTAATGCATGTTTTGTAAGATAGATACGATCACTAATTTATAAGCTATCATATGTCATCTTTCCTCACCATTTAGTAGATGTATCTTTAAATGGGTACTAATAATCAAGGAAAGACCAATGCCAAGGAGTTTTGCCAAGTACCAGCTAGTAGAAAGGATCATTAAGATTCTTGCATGTTGTTGTTTTTCAATTTGAATTTAATAATACTACAATAACTCCTTTAATACTTAGATAACTGACTAAAACATCGAAAGGACTATTGATTAAAGAACTCTTGACTTTATTGCATCTACAATGGCTTCATACAACCTTTCATTGGAGGCCATTTTTTATATCACTAGATATAAACTCTGAAAAGAGCTGTTGACTTACTAAATATAGATATTTACAAGTTTCTGAGAGAAAAAAACTCTCCATTCTATCTTCTAATTCTTTTGTTATAACATCATGTACAGTTGCATATCCACAACTACAAATAAAACTGTGATATAACTATATAGCTTGTCAATATAGAATGAAAGGAATTCAAACACACTTACAGGGTTTATCAAGTTTCATTATATATAACCATTTACAACAACAAACAACAAGATAGGTTTTTGCAAACTTTCATGCCGTGTCAAGTTTTACTTCTTGTTAAATATTTCAAGATATTAATAAAGGTATAAATAAGCATGTTATAAACATATGATATCTTTTCTCTGATCTGCCTGTTGATGAACATCTAACGAAATCAAAATCTAATTAAGATACGTATCAACTTACTCTGTGCGTGTATGTTCATTTAGACTATTAATGATATCCCTGCCAACATGGAAATAAAATGGATTCTTGGTGGCTTGATAAAGGAAGTATGTGGACTCTACAAATTCTGGTCGTAAAGGGTAGAACTTGACATCTGGAGCTTTTAGATGCCAGTTATAGCGCTCGGGAATGGCATCATATTTTCTCCATATAGAGTAGTATAATGCATGACAACATATAGCTTCTTCTATATCTCCGTTTAATACCTGTAATAGTTTCAAAGGAGATCATATTATAGGTTAGGGTGATTGAAAAGTAACAAGTTACTATTCAATATAAGGCACTGGCACAGGGTTTAAGTTATTTTTACAATAATTGTGATGCTAATATGCAATGAACTAAATCATGGAAAAGATTCTGGAGCAAATTCCATACAAAACTTTCCTAAAAAATTCGAACTCCATCAAGTTCTTCAGATTTCTCCATCAGCTGATGTCCCCCCTGAGAATCTGAGTACTCCATAAGACCCAGTTTGAATTATAAACTAGAGAAACCAGTACATGTGCACTCACCTGAACTCCAGACCAGGCTGCCTGTAGAGAATCAACCCAATTATTTAACAAATCTCCAGTCTTCATGTTGACATTCACATAAATAGGAGGATTCCCGTTTCCATTGTTACAACTTGTTCTCCTGTGAAAACATGAAATTGTATTGAAAAAAGACACAAAAGGGAAGAGCAATTCAAAATGACACCAAAGGAATAGACCCAGGATATTCAAGGGAAACTCTAGCAAACAGAAGATCAACACAAATCAATTATTGAAAAGGCTCTTAATGAGCCAAAGCTGGTCAAATTAGGCCCATGATCTTCTTATTGGTATCAATGAACTTATTTGTCTTATTTGGTCTGAGTTGTCCTGATTCCAGATTACCCATGCAAAGCAAGTGAGCATCTCTTGTAAATCGTTATTTATTTTCATCTTTCAAGGAATGTTTACCTTACGTAACATATATATCCAATCTGAGATCAAATCATACCTACCCTCTTTTCATATGAAATTTAATAGATTCATAAGTTTCATTAAACATTTTAAAATCTTCCTCCTCACCAAATAAAATATACGACTGAAAAAATAAAACAACAACAGACTTTAATTCCAGGTTATATTTCATACAATTAAACTTGTTAAAATCTGTTAGTTGTATCTAGCAATTGTAAGTACCACATATCAGAGCTGTTTATTTGGCTCTATTTGCCTGTCATGACCAATGAGGCAGCTCAAATGACCGACGGTCAATATCCTCTATGGCACATATAGACAGCGCTTTATAGAACAACAATCACTGGTTAAATTTGTATCAATAATTTAGAAATGTTTCTCCCATTGTAGCTTGCTATTTTTCTAAAACTATCTGAATTTCATTCTTGTTTAAACACATACAAAAGGAAAAGGTTTGGAAACAAGTCTTTGCTTATACAACCTCTGTACCTATACTTGTATGTAAGAAGATAGAATGGTTCTCACCTTGAGTAAATATTCATAGAAAGAATCTAAACCAGCTCCCAGTCCACTCATTATTCCTTTCCATTCTCCAGTTTGTATATCAATAACATTACCTATAAATAATGATTGAATATCTCTTATAATACTAACACTTTGAGTGCTCCAAATTTCAATCAGTCTTCAACAACATATTGACTTATATTCATTTTACATACTGTAATCAAACTTTATTTTATAGATATTTCTTCATGCCTCATCCATCTATTGACTGATTGCTATTTTTGATTTTTTATGATCTTTATTTTCATAATTTACCAAAAAGGCCAGTGACATTTGACCTGTATTTCCACAGAGCCTTGACCACACGTCTGGCTTTCGATTCATATACAGGATCTTCTAGTAACCTTGATAAGACACCAAACTCTAGAGATAATGTTCCAGCACCAGCTGTACAAGTTTCGTTAGTACAATCAGTAGGTACACCATCTTGTAAGTTTACCTGTAAAAAAAAATTATCATATTCTATAAATGTAGCAGTTTGTATGTAAAATAGAAGATATAATATACTCATGTTTATTTACAGAACTGCATATTTGATACAAAGACAAAATCTGTATAGCCATAAATAATTTAGAAAAACTTTGTTTTATAGTCACTTAGGAGTAAAATTTGGAAAAAGAAAGAGGTAACCCAAGTAGTGAAAAAGTACTGTACTTAATACAAAATAAAACTTGTGGTGTAAAGCTTGTTTCAGCTATTACATTACAATTAGTCCAATTCCAAATATACTATCTTAGGATTTTAGAATACCTACCCTAGGATATGGAACTCCAGTAGCTGTACCATCGAATGCCGGGAGTAGTCTAGCAGCTAGATCATGAGCTAATGATAATAATTCATTGTTATAATCTAACGGTCTCATATCACCAAATGGTTTATCTCTATCTATTATAATCAAATGAGCTGACAACAGGGAACCTAATACTCTGAAAAGAAAATTCATATGTTTTGTATAAATCATTGTGCCAATAAATTATGATGTGTTTTTTAGGCTGAATTCCATTATTTCAAGCAAATTACAATCCCACCATTGCCACAGTATACAAAAAACATCTATAAAATATTTAATCTAACAAAGGGATATTCAGATACAAGTCTTTGGGACTATCAAAGAAACAAACCTGATGGTTGCTTCAAAAACTTGAACTGTATTATCTTTATCAAAATCTAAATACTCAATGACTAAATTTACTGCATTCTGAAATTCTGAACTATTGCCCATAATCTGAAATCAAAATCAGTAAAAAACCTTGTAGAGATATTTAACCATTGCCAAATCATAGTTTAAATTTTGACATAGTATTTGAATACCAGTGGAAGACTCAGTTGGTATGGAGTTGAATCGTCGTCTGCTAGGTGATTAATTTTCGTGGGTTTTTATCCTTTTCAAGATAAGACAAATTCTGATTCCACAGCCAGAGTCGGTTTTCACCCCTTTTTTACCAATAAAATGGCTTCATTATTGAATTCATCTTTGTAATGAAAATTCAAGTTCACCATTCATCAGAGGTCTGAATACTTGGGAAACCTTTCTTAAATCATAATGAATTCTGTATATATACTTACTGCTAATGTGTCAAGTGAATCAACCAAAGTTAAAACATAATCTCCCAGTACATCATTTATATTGATGTTAGAACTGAAACAACGAAAAGGGTGTTAGAAGATGTGTGCTAAACCCTTCCAATATGCTTATCAGCAGTCAATATTTTTTTAAATGGTATTCAAACTGGCAAAAGATTCAATGACATTGCCTAACCGACATAGAGCCACTGGTCATATTAATGCTGTTAGATGTCATAGTACTGGTACCTCGACTAATGCCAGGACGATCGACTTCTGAATACCAGGAAAATAAGCAAGCATCTAACATGTTGCGTCACTTGGAATCTTTACTTATAGACTTTGACTTGTGTATGCATTATACTTTTTGAGCCAAATTAGAGTCAGGATTTAGCTTTAATGATTTAGATTGTTTTATTACCGATCATAATAATCTGGACCGCGTCCATTACAGTCTATAGGATTGAGTTCATCCTCAGGAAAAGCATATTTCATGTAACTGTCGTAGCCAAACTGGAACATTTCTCTTGAAGTTTGAAGCATTTTCAGCCTCTCTGCTTCTGAGAATCGGCCATATTTTTTTTCATAGGGATCCCAAGATCCACTATATTGAAATTTTCGTCCTATAATTGGGGCTAAACAAAAAAGTAAAAGAGAAATATAATAGATCATAGCAGTTTCTCTCCATAATTGACCAATTTTTGATAAAAGTGCCCTGGAACTACCGGATGTTGACCAATCCGCAAATGAATTAGTACCTCACTTTTTGCGCTAAGAACCATTTGAAAAATTTTTATTTACTTGCATTTCTAACTTGAAAAACAAATATAAAATAGACAATTTTCAAAAACATCCTTTCTTTGAATGTAATTCCATACTTTGGAGAATTAGTTTTTTAATATTGCTACGCGCAATGTTTTGATAATGAACCAATGAGATTTAAGGACGTGGAGTGCTCCTTGCTAGGGGAAATCCTGTTTCTTGAACAACCAGTCATAAACTAAACATAAAATGAAAGGCAGTGTAGTCTTGATTGTCACACAAAGTCTCATAGCATTAACCTTTAGTCCATAAACAATATTCATTTAACTATATTATATTCGTTTGTTTTTTCTTTTAATCGTTAATGGCTTGCAGCATGTTTGACCTCTATCAGTTATCAATTTATTATGTCGTTTAAATTCCATTCATGATCTCTCTTCCAGAACACATGACGACGCAACTTAGCAGATAGACTTGTCTATTCCCTGTCCCCTACAGGGCATCCACATAGCAAGCAATGTTTCTTAGTTACATAATTATACCAGCACGAGTTTCTATAATTAAATGGCAAATTTTCTTTCATTAAAAAAAACAAATATGCAACAAATTAATAATGTTTTATTAATTTTCCGAAAAAAATCTCCCATCATAAATAATATATACCAATCAATATTATACATGAGAATTCTCCCAAACAATTCATTTATAACAAAATATACACATTTTAATAAAAGCCTGACAACATTTATTCACATTTAGGGGTAGAGATCCCTCATTGTCTTATTTCCCACTTCCCATGATTTCTGTCATACTTTTAGACTGAAGTTTGACAACTAACTTCAGGGTTCTAGGTACAACAGATATGAAGTCTGGCACACACTCTTCTGCCAATTCCTCCCATAAAATTTGCCAAACAATTTCTATAACAAAATCTAAGAGTAGTTTAACAACTTGATCTAGAGTTCTAGGTCAAATAGACAATTTTTGTTGCAATCCTTTAGCAGTAGTCTAACAAATTGTTCAGGAGCTCTGGAAATAACAACCCCCTCCTGATTCTATAACAAATCTAAGACAGTAATTTAACAACTTGGTCTGGAGTTCTCGGTACAATAGACTGTGGTTCTCGGTATTCATTCTGTGGGTTATATATACCCTCGTACATCTGTTTATACGCCTGACAAATTAAATCTATAGCTCTTCTCTTCATGTTGTCTCTAAAATATAGAAAATAAAATTTATTATAAATAACAAGACTTTCAGATCATACATAATCAATACGAGGGTTGGCTGAAATCTGGGATATCTCAATCAGATTGAAATAAACATTAAATCAGCACATTTATTTCATGAATTATAGACATTAGAACTGCAACTGTAAGATGTTTTGTACCAGATCATCATGTGAACCTTACAATCTGCAAGATGAATACCAAATCTCTTGACAGTACATCAGAAACATGCCAGTTTCCAGTGACAATAAAATTTTCGCCAATGATTCTTTAGCCTGATTTTCCCAACATAAAAAAAGAATGTGATCTGCATCAAGGCATTGCAACACTGCTGTCAAAAATGTGTAAACCTGGAAGGAACTGTGTAGACAAATAAATGAAAACCATCTTCCTGGTATGGGACCTGTGAATGTCTTACCTTACTAGTGCACTTAGTATCAGACTACATTGTGGTAACACTAAACTATCAGGGCTGGCCAAATAACTGTCAAATTTATTCTGAAATATAATAATCTCTTTATATCCAACTCTTCCAAGGTTCAACTTAGTTTAAAGGAATTGAAAAAAAATTCTGTTTTATGTGTATAGGGGAGACCTATCATCGATTTGTACAATTTTAATTTTCAATCAGACATCTGTTATGGCTAATGTCTGTGGTCCTTGCTAACAATGTCTGTCAGTCTACCTGATACTAAAAAAAATTTAGAGGTTATGTTATGCAAGAGGCAGTAATTCAAGCAGGGTCATGCGGCCAAATTCAAAGACTTATTTTTCATTTTGATTTTAGATACCAGCTTCTCATTTCAACAATAAGTGAGAATGTTTATGGCTTGGTGAAGAAATTTACTTACCATAGCTGATTTAACAGTGATACCATCTAGACCTTGTAAACTAGATAGAGGGCCCTGGCTGGTTTGATGTGTCTGTACTGTACCATATATAGAAGATAAACCAACTCTATTTAATACAAACGCTGCCTGTTCACTGATCAGGGTGTCTACATGGGCATCAATCTGAAATAGAAACAGAAGGAAATGAAACATTATGTACAGATACTAATAAATTCCACAAAGTTTCTTAAAAATTCACTAATTACTGTGCCTTGAAGTGTGTTAAGAAAATTGAAGCAATCACAATCACTTGAAGGTGTGAAGTGGTGCACACTATTTTCACAATTATACAGTATACTAGAACAAAGGTCTGAAATTCAAAGAAATAAAGGTTTTAGTTTACCTGAGCTTGTAACATTTCTAGTCTAGTATCAGTAAATTCATACAGAGCTAATGTTGACTGTATTAAATAGATACCATTTATCATATAGGCTGCCATATCTATACTGTTTAATCTACTAGCTGATACTGAACACATCTGAATTAGGGGGTCCACAACACATGATAATATCTGGAAATAAAATTCAAATAATCATCAATATAAGTCTTACACATAAAAGCAGGCATGCTAAAATCAGTCAATTTCCAAAAACATCAAATATATATGTATCAAAGGTTTTTTTCTATATGAGGCATCTATAATGTGTACAAACTATGACTAAGCTCAGAGCCAAAGACTAACAGAACTTCCTATTCAAGGTTGAAGATAGCTAATGTTTTCTAACATTATCAAAATATTTTTTTTTCATTTTACTAGAGTACATCTAGTTTCAGTTTCCCCTTGTTATCAACACTTTACAATTCTACATCTGATAAATATCCACCATTCACCAAAGAATGGGCCCTTTTCAGCCTAGATTTATATTTTATGAACAGACAAACCTGTTTATAGTCTTGTTTTTTATCATCTATAGGTACAACTGAAGCATCATGACAAGCCAGGACATCTCGTAGTAACTGTAGACTCTGGGTTAGGGAAGATGTTGGTCCTAAATCAGATGGTGGAAGTTCAACCTGTTAAATCAAAAAAACATCAAGTTCAGTTTTGGGAAAAAAGGTTTTTCAGGAAATGGTTTTCTAAGTGGTTGTCAAATCTATTATTTAAAGTGGTACCAATATCTCCTCACCAGTACTTCCATGTGTTTTTATAATATTTTTAATATTTACAACAAGAGGACCAGTTTAGTGAAACTTGCATAAGAATTTGCGTAAGATGATCATAAGTCTAGAGAAACTGTCCCAAGTTCTGTCCAATTTCTATAATCTTATGGACTAAAATTTTTGACATTACCTACCCTATCTAGAAGTTTGTTAGCATTACAAGTTAAGCTGTTAAAAAACATTCTATGAGATAAACCCTGGATTTCACTCAATGTTGATAACAGTGCAGCCTCTTTATTTACTATTTGTCTGAAATATATAATATCAATATAGCAATGTATTGTCAGGCCGAAGGTGTGTTTTCTGAATGGTGAGCATAAATTTGGATATATCACAGCAAGATTTGTGGGGTAGGGTAAGAATAAGAATATGAGAATTGTCAACCGTATATATCAAGAATCACTTTTTTAAGTGTTTTTTTTTAGTTTTATCATTCTTAGTTTGGTGAAACTTCATTTTATCTATAAATGAAATAGAAAGAGAAACTGACCTGATTGTATTGTGGTAGAATTTGAGTAAATTATCTAGTTTATACAGAGTTACAGCATCTTGTTCTGATACCAATACTTGCTCTACTCTAACCTAGGAACCAGAAAATATAATGATATACAACTGACCTTTCTAGTTTGACTAAAGTTGAGCACTATCATACAATGTTCCATGAGGTGTAATTTGCAAGGAAAGCATAGTCACTAATACTTTAGATGCATTAGAAACTTGCTTTGTGAAACTGTGTTATCTTGAGGAAATGAGTTGGCATGTGAAAGTCTGATGGCTTTGAATAAGTCATCTCTCTTTATACCAATAGATTTAGTTATTCAAGAACAATTACTCCATGATAGATGAATGCAAAAAGACAAGAAAGTAGACAGGGTCTTGAGACCTTCTTTATCCTTGTCAAATGAAGCTTCTTTCTTCCTCAATTACCTTAAATGGTCTACAGACACCCTCAGTTATATGACCTAAAACATCTTCTATCTGAGATTCTTGTACTGAAATATTTGAAACGAAATTAGATTCACTCAAAGCGAATGTATATAGAGATCAATTTTAAAGAGTGATGAACTGCACATCCAACATAATATAAACAATTAATATTGCATGCAAATAATTCAAAATATGACCACAATACCACTAATTTGTAAATAAAAAACTGAAAGTTTCGAGCTTGAATTTCTGCATAGATCAAAATAAGTACTTAGTTTTTTCAAGCCATTGAGATGGGATCATGAATTCACTGTATTTACATGATAAGAGAAAGCATATTAGCAACTGTTCTATTTTTCTAGTTTCTATAGACATTTTGTTCCTTACCTTCACATTTTTTCAATAAAGATTGAATATGTTCTTTCTCTGATGCTGCAGCCTGATGTAACCAGCCTAACATATCACCTACGTATCGTAGAGGATCATGGGAATGGAGTTCAATAGGTCGTGGTGTGCCACCTGGTCCTAGAAAGTAACAAAAAAGAAATGTCATGGAAAAGGCGATTAAAAAAGTGTCTGAAATTTAAACCTTAAAATTTGAGACAGTCAAAGGTCTACATTAAGATATAAAGACAATATACCAGTATCACCATATAGGAATTCATATCAATACCTCTATCAATAATATTGTCTCATTGAACACTGAACACAACTTTTTCTATATATATTTGTCAAATTGTTTCTTCAAGACCTGTCGGCACCATGTAAACATCCTAGAATAAGTAATGTCTTGTACCTACCCCCTCTAGTTAGAGCATCTATAAAACCACGAACTACAGCACTTCTTCTAGCTGTTCCAAACTCATCTAATGAATATCTACAAAAAGAAGCGTTTGGGTTATTTCAACTTTTTAATCAAAAAAAGATAAATCAAGCTTGAATCACCAAGCACAAAATCACACCTTTAGTTCATATCGGTCTTTATAAAAAAAACTTGTATCGTTTACATTTTACAGGATAAGTATAGACTAAACATAAAATTACATCAAAATACAGTCTGTGTTTCATGAGCCCTGCTTTTAAGAGTATTGACAAGTCTTTTCTTTAAGCATTTTTAAAAGACTAGAATAGTTAATATTGTTATTTGACACAAAAACCATTCCTTGCTGTATAAATGTTCTGTTCAACAAGTTATGATAAATATGTCAATAAGCATTCAAAGACAGTAAAAAAATGGGCTTACTTGAATAAAACAGGTCTATCTAACAATGCTTTCATAGCATCACATAATACAATAGATACATCAGGGGAATCCCCTGTCAGAGTTCGACATTCATCTAGAAAAAATAAAATAGATAAATGTTAAATTGACAGTTCACTTATGTGATATTTTACTAAACAGCTAAAATAACCAACTTATTGATAAAAAAAAGTGAATAATACTCATTTAACCCAGCTTTATCAACTTGTAAAGAAACTTTTAGCCAACTGTATCTCTCTAATGCTTCTGAAAAGATCATGGATCACAGTGGAATACTGAAAGCCTCTTGAAAGCTTCTCCAAACTTGTGAAAAAAGGCTTGTTATCATAAGATACAGTTATCACAGAAAAATACTTGAAGCTCCAGTCAGACAAGACTGGGAAATATGGAGACCCTTCATACTTACTCTGTGTCCATCTATAAAGCCTTTCATAAGCTGATTCCTGATGTAATGCCATAGATTCCATTATTTCTAATCTGTAACAAAGTAATATGTCATTCTGAATATGATATCTACCTCTAAGGAAATGCATGCATCAGGTTTCATGGTGGCCCTGCATATCTGTGAGATGCATAAGCAAATAAACATGAGCTCATTTCATGCTGAGGACACATGTTGAAATCATCAACAAGTATAGTTTCTAGAGTGCAATTCATTCAGTCAAATCATCAGAGTATATAATCATATCTTAAACAGTTATTGTCAAGGACAGTTTGATTAAAGCATGTAATTTCACCAAAGATTAAAAATCCATATAACCTACCCAGCTGTTTGTTGGTTGGTTCGTAATAAATATTTACAATCACTATGTATTTGTTTCACTCTAGCTAAGGCCTTGAAAAATTCCTGAAATATTGACAATCCAGTCAAATACTGGGCTTTCACTATAAGTTATAATTAATAATTGTGTAAAAAAAGGTGTATTTCACTACTTACGATGTTAGCTCCTAGCAATATGTGATTCCTAAATCTTTTGATTTATACACTTTTGCAGATATGGTTGCATTTGAAAGTTTTGGTAGATTAGACCCTCAAAATATAATTCAATGAAATGGTGAAATGATGAAATCAAATGCTTCACAATGGTAGCTGATAATAATAAAATGTGCAGCAATTAAACTCAGGACCACTGATATGAAGGCTTGGAATATCCATCCTCCCCTTTCAAAACTAGAGTTATGGAAAAATATACTAAATTTCAAATTGAGTGCAAATTACTCACAGGATGTAAAGCTCCATCTCTGGTCCCTCTGATAATCTTAGCTTCTTCTGATTTTAACTGAAATTTACTCAGAAAAGCATCAGCCACTTGTGACTTCATCTGTAACTTTTGACTGAAAAAAACATTACAGTTATTCAGATATTGATATGATAATGATCTTTGCAGAATGTAAAAAAATCATTATCAGAGTTTTACGTTCATTCCAGAACAATGAAAATCATTTTTTTTTAAAATGTCAGACTAAAACTAAAGCCAGACATTTTGAAATAATAAGCTGTTACAGGTTAAATTATGTTGAACAAATCTTAGAAACCCCTACAGCATGTACTGTCAAATTGAAAGACTAGACGATTTGACATATGGGCCCATCTGACCTGCATCATTGTTATTAATCGGTTGTTGAAATAGAACATATAACAGCTGAGTTAAAAATATGTTAAACATAGCAAACAAAGTTGTACCTTTCAGCATGAAGAGTTGTAGTCTGACTGATTAAATCATGGGTCTGATCTTTAGCTGCCTACAATATTCAACATTATTTTACGTTATTATACTCATTAACAAGAAAATTAATAATTCAAAGAAATGATTTACATCAAACATCAAATTATCAGGGGTTTATCATCTTTTCTAAAACCATGACAACTTTAAGGTAGTAAAGGTTTGCATATCTCATATATATTAGGTGTGATTAGTCTTCTAACATGCAAAATCTAGCACTCCTGATTTTGATCTCAAGATTTATGGAAACAAGGATAAGAGTATAAGGCAAGTATATTTCCATGAAATATAACCATTGCATGGTTTACACAAGACGTTACTGTAAGAATTCTTTTAAAGATAAAATTGAAAGAGAGTGTATTAATACCTTTAATCTATTGGTCATGTCCTGACAACATTCATTCATTTCTTTTACATCAGAATAAACACAGTCCAGTTGCTGGAAGCAGATATTTTATAATAGATAGATAAATACACATGTGACATGAATCTATTGGGATTTTGATTACAGGTAACTACTTAACCACAACAGTCAAATTGACCATGAGGGAAATAAACAACACAAAAGGCTCTCAAGAGGCTGAACGTAGTGGTTAAGTCATCTGATTTACACCCCTGAACTCTTGGTTGAACTCATGCACATGCATAGTTTGAATCAACATTAAACTATACATGTATGATTGGAGGAGCTCATTTTTATAATCAGGTGGGTTTTTTTCAGTTAATGCCCTTGATGACTATACAATATTAATTTGTATAAAAATACCTCTTTGACAGCTTGAAAAGACTGTAAAAATTCTTCATTAATGGCCAGACTTCTCTTCTCTATGTCACTTCGTAAATTTCTTCTGGATCGTAGATTGTTCTCTGTAAATATTGTAGACAAAGCCTTGAGGGCTTCCAACATGTCCTGCAATTTAAAAACATAAAAAATATAGGCCAGCAAGGTAGTAATGTCATACTGCACAGTATGAACATTGATATATTATCATTGACATTAATCCTTCTAAGATAAACAGAATAATAAGTCAAGTAAGATGATATACTCTCAGTGGATAAGGGAGGAGATGAGTTGCATTGTCAAATATGCAGCGAAACTTTGAAACCTGTCATATGGTTCTTAAGAAGCCAGCACTGACAATACTTTTGGTGCAAATGGTTGTCCATAAAATATGTCACTGCACAGAAACTGGACAGTTTCAATGCTAAGGAATTCCCCGATTGCTTCCATAATAAAATACCAAGTTTACTGAATACTTACTTTGTCATTGTCAAGCCTTGTTTCAAGAATCTTATTTAATTTCCTTGTCAAAGGATTATTTGTTTGACTCGCTGACACGTCCGACTGATCCTTGTCGGCCATTTTAAGTTGCACTTGTTTTAGAGTTGTTTTACTAAATGTAAAATTTGATATATAATGATAGGGAATGGCCTTGATGATTCTTATTGATAATGTATCTACAATGTTATTATTGTTTTACTGCTTCTGAAAATTGAATGTTTGAAATTGCCAAAAATTATGCTTATTTGAATAAGAGGTCACCGTTCAGACAAACAAGCTAGAAACCGGAAGTTCATTTCTTAATGGCGGCTTCTTTGATTGAATTATGATGAAAAATATAATAAATAATTGAAGATACTTCTAATCTTTAAGCGAATTCGATATATCCATTGCATAGACCAAAATGTCAAGTGCTAAAGGAAAACATGGTATTAATCATATTGTTTTCCAATTTCTTATATTTAACACCCACCCTACTACAAAAAACCTTAAATTACTGAATCAGAGGGGTGTCTATAATCTGAAGATCGAAGATGGAAGACCTCTATAAAACGAAGACCCAACTATAAAACGAAGACCCACTATACTATAAAACGAAGACCCAACTATAAAACGAAGACCCACTATACTATCATACGTTTGGATTATAGCTGCCATTATTCTTCAATGACTTTACCTAAACCCTTTGTCCTGATTTCACTTCAATTGTATTCTGTATTGCACAGGTGGCATCTAAAAAAAAAAAGGTCTCATCGACATAAACATAAGCAGAAAAATACAAAAATACTAAGTAATGTATCACTTTAAATCTTGTATCAGATAGTTATTGTAGGGTCTTCATGCACAATTTACAACTGTTGTTCGAAATCTTCACTTCTTTTTTTGAGTCTGTGATCACTGTGTGAATTAATCATTTCATTTTGCTGTCTATTAAAGCGTAAAAAGATATCAATGGTCGCTTTGTTGACATTTAATGTAAGTCGCCAATTTTCCCGCAATAACTCTATATCTGGCTTCTGATTGGTTTAAAAAAACCTTGACATTAGTTGGGTCTTCGTTTTATAGTATAGTGGGTCTTCGTTTTATAGTTGGGTCTTCGTTTTATAGTATAGTGGGTCTTCGTTTTATAGTATTGTGGGTCTTCGTTTTATAGTTGGGTCTTCGTTTTATAGAATTGTGGGTCTTCGTTTTATAATTGGGTCTTCGTTTTATAGTATAGTGGGTCTTCGTTTTATAGTTGGGTCTTCGTTTTATAGTATAGTGGGTCTTCGTTTTATAGTATAGTGGGTCTTCGTTTGATAGTTGGGCCTTCGTTTTATAGTATAGTGGGTCTTCGTTTTATAGAATTGTGGGTCTTCGTTTTATAGAATTGTGGGTCTTCGTTTTATAGTATAGTGGGTCTTCGTTTTATAATTGGGTCTTCGTTTTATAGTATAGTGGGTCTTCGTTTTATAATTGGGTCTTCGTTTTATAGTATAGTGGGTCTTCGTTTTATAATATAGTGGGTCTTCGTTTTATAATTGGGCCTTCGTTTTATAGTATAGTGGGTCTTCGTTTTATAATTGGGTCTTCGTTTTATAGTATAGTGGGTCTTCGTTTTATAATTGGGTCTTCGTTTTATAGAGGTCTTCCATCTTCGATCTTCGGATTATAGACACCTGAATCGGAGTAAGAGTCTCAGTAAGACGACTTGAGGATACTTCCCTCAGCAGTTGGGAGTCAGTCAAAGAAAGATGTTCGGTTGATTAAATCATTTGAGGCACCCTTTCGATAATTACCTCCCTCGATTAACCAGGGTTTGTTTTAAAAAAAATTAGAGAGCCAGTTTTCTCTTTTTTTGCAGTTGAAGTTGCTTCAGCTAGAAATAGACTTGGTGCCACATTACAGAATCTTGTAGATCAGAAAGATGATGGGTTAGTCTATAAATTACTTTTATATGAACTGTTACCATTAATACCCCTCATGGAACCTAATAGCATGATAATAGTCTTAATTATTTTTTTTTAATTCTATGTAAAGCATATTTCCATTAAACAGTATTTAGAACTTTTTTTAGGACTTTAAGTATAAGCTTACTTAGATTCAATTTTATTTCTTTTAGACCAAGTGATAGTGAGGAGGTTACTCATCCAGTTTTACCCACACCAAGGTCAGTAACTCAACTTTAATCTACAATTTGAACAGAGTATTAACCTTCCTACTTCTATAATATGTCTTATAAATATTATACCAACATTGTTGAATTAAACTTCTTTCAAATCATACATTCTTGAGTTACAGTGTTTTGGATCATTTTTTCTACATTTATAGATCATCTAATTCAAATTCTGCCTCTCCCAAGAAATCTCCATCTAAAGCCAACAGAAAACGAAAGCGAAAAGATGACCTAGGAAGTTTAAGGTCTGGACAGCCACAACGTAAGTTCTTTATCCTAATCATTTCCATTTACCGATTATTAAAACTGAATCTTAAAATGATGTGTTTAAACAATAAGCCAATTCGGTATTATGCATGCACGTGCGCTTCCACTGAGGGACAAACGTCTATTTAACATGGGAGTCTGTGGCCACAATGGAAAAAGATTTCGTTTTCTTAAGCAGATTGTCAGTTCAAGATATATAATGTGTCTGATGATTGTAAATGCCGTAAACCATTTGTATAAAATCCTTGTCCATAGACTGCCATGTTAAATCGAGGTAGTTTATCCTGAGGCAGAAGAAGGGAATCAGCATGCTGTTCACGAATAATACCGAATTGGCTTATTGCATGAGTAATAAACTTACTCTTCCGTAACAATTGACACAACTGAGTGACTATTTCTGAGAGTTGATATAGATAACAATATATTTTTGGCAGGCTTACATTCATAATATCATTCATGTTTATTATTCCTCTGATCAATTCCTCTTCTTGACTATTCAATTTGATTATTCAAGTTGGAGTATAGTATCACTAATCCATATTTGCTCAATTCTTCAATATACCTTTCAATCTATATACTTTTCCCAGATACATATGTGATGAAGTTATTTGATAGAAGTGTTGATTTAGCTCAGTTTAATGAAGAAACTCCTCTATATCCAGTATGCAGAGCTTGGATTAAGAACGATCCACAGAGTAAAGAACCACTGGTAGCTCCACCTGTACAGAGATCCCCGTCACCTAGTCAGGACATTAAACCTGGCAGTGATGACGAGGTAATGTACTATACACTGTGTCCACTTCTACAGCTTTTTCATCTGTTAATTGAGAAATAATTATAATAATAATAATAATTATCATAGAGTTAAAAAAACAAAATGTCTGATTTTCATACTTAAAAGTGATAAGGATTGCTGAGATTAATTTGCGACTTTATCTGTTTGAGAATGATGATCAAGCTTTTTTTTATTGTCTTTTGCTCAGATTTTCAATACAGCAAATCTCTTTGTTGTGAGAGTGTGTATCATGAAATAAGTTTTAATTAACAACAGTATGATGTAATATTGTTTTTCAGATGGACAGGTTCCCAGATGTATATGAACTGCCCCCACCAATAAAACAAGAGAAGAGTGATATACATGTTGATCATCGTGTACCAGTACCTACCCCTCAACCACAGGAACATCTTGATATTCATTCTGTAAGTTGACAACAAAAATAATCCTAACTTTTTTGCACCATGGAACTGGATACTTTCACATGGTCATCGAGATTGGAACCCATAGCCGCCATTTGCTGGCAAAACATCATGTCACACTGGTATTTATATAATAGAACTTCTCTCAAGGGGAACTTGAGATCAGATTTCACAGGTTGTTGAAAAATGTCCAGATGCCAAAAAAATATATAAACAGCCCTGTTATAGAACCCTATTGATGGAGGTTTCAGAGCCATCTCATAGCTTGTAATGTTTTTTTGTCAATATTTTTAATTATTTCTATCTAGACTAATGAAGGAGCCCCACCAGAACAACTGTTAATAAATCATATGGCAAGATGGAAAGAAACCAGAAACAGGTAGGCCAAATGTTTGCTTAGTTTTGCCTGGATTCATTATGGACAATTTATATGTGGTCTGTATGTGTATGAAGGTTATCAGACCTGAATGTTATGTTTTGTTACTTCCACTCATTTCACTGAAAATCAGCTTAGGTCATCCTGTAGTCCAAAGTTAGAAATGTAGTCAACATACACTAAATTAAAAAATGTATCTGTGTAATCATTTCTCTTGCCTGTGCAACGAAAATAAATTAAACTTTCATTAGCTGATACATTATATCTGTCAAAATGAGCTCTTTTTAATGAAATTTGAACCTGTTTCTTTATATTTTCAGATGGCAGATAACAGGGTTAAAAAATGAAATGAGATATGCTGACAGTATGTGTATATTAAAACAGATGTATGATAGACAGTGTCAAAAATAAACATTGTGAATTTTATATACTTAAAAGGATCTAATCTATGTATTGTATAATAATATAATCCACCATAGTGAACAGATAATGGCTGGTGCTTTCAATTATTTTGGCGATACATTTTAGTACATAATTTCATATTTCTTACAATTTATTGTTGCACTTGAAACCAGCATAAAATCCAGAAGAACTATCAGGCTAATGAAAGAGACTTCTATAGACCAAATAAAAGTCATAATTTTTGAATGAATTGAGCCATACTAGTGAGTTGTATTCAGATAGCTTTGAGATGGGGATCCAACCATAATATTCATACTATACCACTTTGGATTAGACTTACAACTTCATGCTCACTGTTCATTCATAAAATATGTCAAGAAAATCCCCAAAATGACAAAATAAACACTTTTCATATTAACATTTTAATTTAATCAAATATTTTATAAGCTTCTTTATCAACTTCATCATCTTCCATTGGTGTTTTATAAACATTGATCACAGGTGGAGCTTTAACATGGGCATTATAGGTCCACTTAGGAAACATTCTCTTATACAGATGCATCAATACTGTATCTTGTGATTTTAACTGGCCATCAAATACACATTTCATATGACCATGGGTACCTAGAATATAATATTAAAGGATGAAGTAGATTGTCTTATTAACAAGCAAGACAGGAGTCAAGGATATTGCAATAGTATATATAAACTATAAACTTGCGGATGGGGTCTCTCATCAAGAACACACTCTAAGAGCTGGTTAAAAAAAAAACTTTGAAGGATGAGGCCCTTAATCTTCAGGAAAATTTAAAGCAGTTTATGGTCTTAGTAGGCGTACACACTTGACCCAGGTTCAAGGTACTGAACAAAGTAAATGAAGACATGCCATGCAGTATTCAATAAGGGAAATTTTGTCAGGAGATCATTCTGAGCTACTCTTTTCCAACTTTTTGAGGGTAGGGTATCTTAACGTGCATATCCTGTTAATTGGGGAAAACTGGGTTAAACAATCTGAAGGTATCATCTCGCGCACAGTTGCAAGTAGTCCTCCCTTTTTCATGTCAAATCTGATTAAAATGTGGGTATATAAGATGTTTAAATACCTAAAGCTTCCTTAACGTGTCCTCTTCTTCCCCATTTAGTTCTTAATTCTACAGGTTTAAACCAATAAATATCATCTGAAATATAGTTTTCAATATGTATAGTCAATAATTAGTATTTAATACACATTCAAATGTTGGTTGGGAATTGAGGCCACATTGTTTTATGTCGAAGGCACTGATTAGCTCTATACACTATCAAATATCAAATATACAATCAAACTGCTGCATTAACAAAATTGCATGAAACGTGCCTAATGATGTTTAGGTATAAGATGGAGTTCGTAATAGCTTGACATTGTAAAATTGACTATTTTTTTTTACCCACCTCTATTGTAAAACATATATCTAATAACAGAAGAGCGTTTGTTGATTTTTTTCGGGTGACCACTAAGTATAATACGTTTAGCTACAATTCTATCTGGATTCACTGACAATAGAGAACCTGTAGCTACTAACTCATGAAGACCTGAAAATAGTTCCAAGAAAATATAAGGTTAATGAGAACTAATAAATAAGAACTAAGCTGAAGATTGATTACAGAATTCTTATTGAACTTGTATACAACTTCGTCATTGCTTTTCTCACAACTGCACTGCTGTTACAGTATATCCAAGTAATAGTATATCTCAGGTTCTGTTTTATAAACAAAAATAAAACATGTCCAAGAATATCCCCTGATTAATCAATTGAATAATTCTACAAACCGTCCAGAGATTCTTGAAAGACCAGAACAGAAACTGGAGGATAGGTAATAGGCGCATACACTGTAGCTACACATGCTGAATCAGGCATCAAAAATCTCTCAAACTGAAATTAACAAAATCAAAATTATTCCAGATAATGACTTGCTTGTTTTCATCTTGCCACGTAATTTAAGCAGAAATGTCAATATAAACAAACAAAGCAATTGCCAGATAACTGCCATGAATAATCATGGTATCATTTTAATGAAAACTGCTTATGAAATGAGATAAAATTCTTACTAGATGTTGAAATGAAATAAGCAACTTGTTCATGAATATACCCCCTGTCAGTGATGCAGGTAAGAAGGGCTGACATGGAAAAAGCGTCTAGTCGTTCGGATGGGACAATAAACCGAGGTCCCGTGTGCTACAGGCTGTGCACGTTAAAGATCCCTCGACAGTTGGAAATCGAAAAAGAGCAGGCTAATGCCGCTCTCCTGGCAAAATATCCCTCATCGCACCCTGCATGGCGTTGCATGTCTTCATTGGCCCACATGGTGCAGAAAAGTAGGATGTAAAACTCCATTCATTTCATTTCATATTCCATAAATATAGGTAATAGGACTGGGAAACAAAGGTTAATGTATTACCTATAGTACTTACCTTATGTTTATTACCAGTAGTATGTTGAGAGAAAATAGGACAAGCTGAGAATCGTCGAAATCCTACGTGAAATATTAATCTATCCTTTGATTTGATTGGTTGAGTGGCAGACTGGTATTTTCTGATATTAAAATGTAATACAGACATCTTCTGTTCGTGTTGTAACAAACCAAATAATACAACAGGTGTCCCAGGCTTGTATGTTTCTATAATATAATAAACACATATCAATCATTATTTATAACTTTCCAAAGATCAGAAATAATAACCATTCAATGCAATTTTTTTAATCAAATTTTCCTAAGACACATTCGATCTATTTTCATTGAATGAAATTTTCTTCAAGAATGACTTTCATCTATTGATAAAATGTGTAAGCCTGTTACCAATCCAAATACCAATAAAATACAGTTTACAAATATCTATTTGAGTGTTGCAATTAAATCTTCATTTATGATTTGATACAAGATTGAACTCACAAACATGAAATATGATTGAGAAGAGCAGTACAAACCTATAAATTCTTTTGGTACTTTATCAACATGTAATGTTATATACCAACCAGGCTGAAAATACAAAAAAAGGATTGTTTGAAATAATACAAATTTTTCAATAGGTTTTCAGGAGACTGTCCAGTTTCAAAATTGATTTTCAAAGAAAAAACAAAAATGGTCAAGTATAACTTGAGATAATCTTTAAACAGCACTTTAAAGTACATATCACACTGGCACCAGTAAAATTGTGTTGTTAAAAATGTCAAGATTTCTTTATAGCTTACCGTTTCAAAAACCGTGTAAACACATGGAAGAATGAGTTTTTTAAAATTTATTGCAGTCTCTTTTCTTCGATTTATATATCTACTTATTTATAATAACATATTTTTCCGATAACTTACCAGAACTCCATCATCATTCTGTTGATTTAAAACTTTTTTTCTCGTCATTTTAAATTTATCAAACTGAAATATTCTGGCATAATCCGAGGGAAGATTTTCTTTTGGATCCCATGGCGACGTTCTGAAACTTTTTAATCCTCTATATCTGTTCAAGAGAGAATTGTGTATTGATACTTTACGATACTAGGCATAACAGGCAAACATGTATACACATAAAACTAGACGTCTTACAAATGCATGAAAAATTTACATTTGTGAACAACATAAAGGCCAGTAAGTCTACTTGTTTAAAGTTCAAATTACTTGTTATATTACAGTGGTGTAACCTATTTTCGTGGATATAAGATTTCAACACCAAATTTCGTCAAAGTTAAAAAAAACGAAGAAAAAAAAATTTATGTCTTAGATGTTTCCTCAGATATTCTACAAAATAATTAAACTTGGTTTATTTCGATTTTCTTTATGAATCCTTCACTTTGACCCATATTTCATGAGCAAGCAACTCGGCAACGGCAGCAGAATGCATCACCTATTTTCGTGTACAATGTTTGATCTATAAATAAGTCTAGAAAAACACGTTGTATGGATACCGGGTGGTATAATTAACTTCTCTTAGAATTTATCTTTAATATCAATTCATTATAACTAGTGACAATTCCTTCAAAGAACCACGATTTAAAAAAAAATAGTGACTGACAAAATAAGATACGTAGCGTGATTTATTGCTAAAAGTCACTGAAAGAACATAAGAATATGGTCCACTTTGTGTTCCATAGAAATTTTCTGCTGACACGGAATCCGCTAGTTGATCACGTGACTTCATACGTTGGAATATATTCTAGCAGACGACACTTGGAATTCCGATTACCGCTTGGGATTATAACGAAATTCGGCCGATAAAAAATGGTGACGTTTGGTAATAAGTGAAATCCACCATTTTGTATTTGTCAAAGTATAGATTAATACATTTTACCTTGCTTGAAACTGCATTGTAGCATCATTTACTATTCCCAACCCCAATTAAATTTTTATTACCTTGCAAATCTAGTTCTAGCAGGGGTATCCATTGGTGTATCAACTTCATCAGGAAACATAGCATGTTGTCTTTCTTCTTTAATTTTCTCTAACCTGGAACAAGATCAATTATTCATATAACCTGAAGACTGTTACACAAAGTGAGTAAGATAAATTCAAAATTTTAAGAAATACAATAACCTTATTGGCTAATGAATATATAAAATCGATTTTAGTCAGTGACCAATCAGATAACTTAACACCAAAATTATCCTACCAAGTTTAGGTAGGTATATATTATATACCATACTTACATAGATCTTTCTTCATCTAAGTCCATATTAGCATCATACTTCTCATCATCATTGTTTTCTGTCATAGTCATCTACAATATTAAAGGTAAACTGTCTAAGATTAAATTGTTTGTCAAGAAAGTCAATCAAACCTATATCAAGGGGTTCAGAACATTGAACGATTAGCTGACTTAAAGGAACAGTCTGCATTTTCGGGGATTGATGTGGGTCTTTATTGTGCTTTAATAGTCTTAAAAAGTACTAAAACGCACGAAAATCACATAATCCCTTCATATACACCTCAAACTAGAAATTTAACTTAACTTCAAATGTGAATAATTATGGATACACATGAATTTGAAGGCTCAAATTTCGATGTTGAGATGTGAACACTTAGTGATAATGTAAGCTAAAAAAATTCCTGTTTCTAAAACTAAGGCATGATTGGTCGAACAGATAGTGAAGGTGCTCCTTTAAATCAATATTGTCTTTACATCATTTGGTCATCATTGTTGCTAATTATTTGCGTCCCAATTATTTTTTAAATCTGAAGGACATTGAATAAGTTAAAAAAAACAAAACTGACCGTTTCATAATCATCTTCTTCACCTTCTTCATCTGACTCCATTGTTTCCATGGCGTCTTTAAATTCATCAACATCACTGTCATCATCATCATCATCATCACCTGGGTTTCCATCTATATCCTGATAATACAAGTAAAGTATAGTGAGAATTTTACTTAATGTATTAACAAGCGATGCTACATGTTAATGCTTTGGCTTTGTTACATGACTTAAGTTCAGGGTATATGACGGTTTATTGAGTTAAAAGAGGTTTACATCAAGTGTTCAAAAGGTTAAGATGCTAGCAACTTCAGCCATACATCACAGAGAATAATAAGAGTCGAACTATTCTAGTATAGATATTTGTATGTTATAGAGCGAGTTTGGAGTATTGAAGGTGACTAGATATTTACATCATAGATGTTTAAATGTTAATGTACATAGATAATTGTAAAAGCCAATTACACATCTAAATAGCATGTGCAAGAGGCGGGACTAATCCTGTCAATCACAGTAAGTTGCAAGGAGATAATCAATCATTCTTACCTGTTCATCATCTACAATCCACATGGCCTGATATTCTGATGTTCCTTTAGGTACACGTTTAACTATTTTCTTCTTAGACTGAGCCTCAGCTACAAATAACATGAAAATATTTAATATTCAGCACTTTCTTGATATTCATTGATACAACTACTATTCCAATGCTTGAAGAACTTGTAGTTTGTTTACAAGTTAGACAACAAAATATGTTTTTTGGGAGAGTCCACATGGATAATATTGCTGGTGACATATTTAAATTTCTCAGTTTACTCAATCCATCATCATGATCAAACGGTAACAACAGCTAAGCCTTAATATTTTGGTTTGAAGGTCATGTTTTTTTCACATATTGATTAATGACCATGTTTAATAATATATTAGTAAATTGGAAAATTTTAACAGACTCTGAGATTTAGAATTTTACTGAACTAACAGATTTACCTTCTGCCAACTCTTCCTCAGTCGGCCATGTTTGTTCTCCCTCCATTGGATCTGGTACAACTTCTGTTTCTAAATTTTCTTGTAATTTTGGGTCGACTTTATCTAAAACTTTTACTTCTTCACTGTTCATTTCTACATCCTGAATTAAATTATTCCGTCAAAAACATTTCAACAGGGAGAGTCTTGTGGTGCAATCGTATAAAAATTGTCCACTAGTCTTAAGTGTCTTAAGCTGAAGTGCTCAACATTTTTTTACTGTCTTTAAAAAGTTTTCTGCAAGGTGCTTGATTAAATGCTATTTCAATTTAGTGAATGGTTGTAAAAAACCAACTTTTCTACATTTGAATGGAGAATGTCCTTATCTTTTGGGGATCATTGAAAAATTTGATGAATTTTAAAAGAGAGACAGTGCTTTTCATAAAATTCATGAAAATATATGTAATAATATAGATCTTGAAAATAATTTCCCAAATAAAGCACAACGATGTACATACCCCACTGGGTTTCTCTTTATGTTTTCGAGGCTGTAAAGGGTACGGGTCATTGGGAGAATCTATTTGGTTCATCTGGAAATCACCCCATCCTGGTAGATGGACAAGTCCATTAACATTTAAACATCTACCACGTAAATATCCAGTCACCTTCAATACTCCAAACTCACTCTGTAATATAAACATAAATATCTATAGTAGGATAGCTCAATCATTTCAGAAAAGTTGGCATACAACAAGGTTGTTGATTTATATTTTTCCCAAATCAGACATTTTAAACTGATAATGACAACACTGAATTTAATCAAATCTACCAAGGTTTCAAATTTATCCAACATAAGGTTGATATCTAATAAATCTGGTCTGTTATCATGTCTAGAAAACACAGCTAAATAACCAGCCCTGACAATAAACTCATTATAAGTATTATTATTACAATCCGTGCAAGCAAGACGATTTCATCCATCAAAAATCTCATCCAAAGAATGGCAAAATCATTAGTAATGTAGTGGACTCCTCCAATGAGAAGTACCATCAGATGTTTCGAAAAGAGTAAGCATAGTCTGCTTAACTTTATCAATCAGTAAAGACAATTAACATAAAATTTACTAAGATAATTGACCAGGTGAACTTCAATTACATTCATCGAAGATTGTACTCTTATGAATTATCCATACCTCACTGGATTCCAATTCAAAAGAGATTTCCTCAGCTATAAGATGTGGTCTATGTTCACGATAATATACTGGTTTTAACTTCTGATCTGTCACTTGTCGTACTATTAACAAGGCATCTTGGGAAGAGTCTAGCGCGTGAAATTTCTCCAATGGAAACCTGGAATAGATTAACACAATGGCTTTCTATCATCATTTAGATAGCATGGTTAACAGTAAAGTATAGTAGAGTAACTGGTCCTTGTTAAAACCTCTTGGCATTTAAGCTAATCCATACGAGCTCATTTTCTATAAATGTCCATTTTAATGGATCATTATTTTCCAGGTTAATTTGAATTCAAAAATTTATCTACACATCGTCTACAATTTCATAATTTTTTGCAATTATTTTAGTGGAAAGCCTTAATGTTTTCTAACCTTTTTTCAATAGAATTTTGAATTATCTTCCTTGATTCAGATTGTTTCTTTATTGGTAGTTTTTTAAATCCCTGAAACAAAAAAAGAGACTACTGTCAAATTCACGATAGGATTCAACTGTCTAGAACCTCTGGGCTTTAAATAATGAAGTCAAATGTAAATAACAAAACCTTTATCTTGTATATCCAAAGGTTTAATATATAAGAACTGAATTGCAGATTAAAAGATAAAAATAAAGTCCAAAATAGTTTAATTAGAATCTATCCACCCCTGTCTATTGAACCCATTTCAAATATGAAATGAAACAAAATGGAAATACAAAATGAAATGAATGGAGTTTAATGTCCTACGTCCTAGAAACAAAATGGAGTTCAAAGATCTAAATCACTGAACAAACCTGAGACCCAATGTCTCAAAAGATACATTCTTGATAATAGTTGTCAGCTGTACACTTTTTTGTAATAATATTGGGGAAGAAGATGTAGTTTTTAACAGAACTTACAGGACAAGCAAAAGTCACAGCAGGAAGACCTTGACCAAATAAACAGCTTAAAGAGAATTCACCATATTGATCTATACCATGTTGAGGTGATACTAATAATAGTAAAGAATCTGCTACTTTAACAGCATCCAGTAAATTAGTCAGGTTACCATATTCTGGGATAAAAAATGATGCTCGCTTCTTGAATCTTGGTATCCTTAAAAAGAAAAGGAGATATGTCGTTGATACCATTCTGAGATTAGATTTAAAAATTTCTTAGAAATTTCTAGATCATGGCCAAACCTCAGCCAATCAAGTCTCTACCACTGCCTATTTTTTATAACAAACCTTAGATGGCACCCTCAGTGAAATGAAAGGAATTCAACACCTGCTTTGAGGTACAAGAATAAGAAAAAAAAGCAAAAAAAACCTTACGTAAAATGTGTAATCTGCTGTTCATTGCTCTGTATAATAATATCTTCATCACAGGTTTTCAAAAGTTCTAAACACGCTACTGAGTTGATATCACTATGTAGAGATACAATAACCTACAATATATAATAATTTAACAATGAAAGGGGGTGTTGTATTCTATTTTCCTGCACCATGGATCATGAACACAGGCTGATTGGTTTGTAGATGAGAAGCTAACATCCACTTCCAGCTAACTGATATACTTGTCTAGGTACTAGGTAGTTGTTTATAGCTGACAAAGTCAACATCCGCTTCCAGATAACTGATATCACAGACATGACATGTAAGCCACCTAGAGCAGGACAATGACACCACTTCCCCAATTTTCGTTTCTACACAAAAGGCTTTTGCCTTACCTCAAATGACAAAAACAAACAAATTTGATCAGTAAATCTTTGAAGCATGTCATACCAGAAAGTCATGTATATTTTTTTGTATTTATATCATGAACAGCAACCATTGAATTACATGAATAATAACTTACAACAAATGTAGGAGGTGTACCAGATGTTCCTCTTTGTCTTTTCTTCTCAAACGCTTCATCTCTTTTCTGTTTTCTTAAAATAACTGACTGAAAAATCGAAGTATTTACATGAATTTTAATATTGAAAGTCAACAACTTCTGTCATTTGAAGATAGTAAACTTTCTTCTTGGTAGGTAAGAGAGGTTGGAACAACAACACATAATTGAAGTTACGAAAGCACATGACAAGGTGAAAATTCAGCTACATCAACGTGATTTTTATACAGTAATGAAATTAAATTATAAAGTAATACTGGGTTTGACTGATTTTAAAATAAAAGATATGTCTTTGTTTCTATGTCATTTTGTATCAAAATCATCATTGATAATAAATTTATTTTCATATTTTGTTCTGTAGGACTGCTACCATTAGATTAGCTCTAAATTAGTTATGGAGCATTGAGCTACTTGGGTTACTGCCTTTTTGATCAACCCTCGATTGACAATAATCCCCCAAATATATGTTTTGCTAAGTGATCATGTAGAGCTAGCCTGTGGAAAGAAGAACCCAACATCAAATTGGTACCGTACTGCCAAATGAGAAATTTACCTGATTTCTTCTCTCTGCCCTTTTCATAAACAAACTGTTTTTCTTGCTCAGACATTTTATATTTACTCTTCCTATAAATTATTAACATAGAAAACAACATTGGTGCTTCAATATACAGAAGATGTAAAATTTGTAGACAGTGGCAGAGCAAAAGGGAGGGGGTGGGGGCCCGAAGCCATTGCAACCCTCGCAGCCCCAAGGCAAGTTTTTCGGGCAAGGCATAGATAAATAAATTGGCAAAACGAGTTTTGAAATTCGGGCAACCTCAGATTTCGCCCCTCCCCCTCCTCAAATGTAAACCTGGCTCGGCCACTGATTGTAGAAACCACAATGGTCACTGTCAGATGAAATGAGATGGGTGTATGATTCTGTATTGGACACATGAAATTGAAAATTAATCAAATGACGAGAAAGTTCATTCTTGTTTCATAAAGCTGTGAAACCAGAGGTTAACAAGCAATCAGAGCGTTCCTATCATTACATAACATAATTTAGCAGAGTTTACCTTTATTCGATTTCTCGATCTCTCTTTTAGTGCGATGATTTCCACTTTTGTGTGTTTTATTTTTCTGTTTGAGTGGCCCAGGCACATGTTGATGTTTACCTTCGACAGCCATTTTGAACCACGTGGTTTCACAAGGGAAACTAGATTCGGTTTCATTATTAAACTGAAACCGGTTTAATACTACGACTTAGAAAATGCAGATAAATTCCATTGTTTCTCCGTCACACGATCCAATTCACTCTTTTCCATTGATGGCAGTCAAATAAGAGGTTTAACTTGTATCGTTTCTCATTCAGAAATACGTTTGGAAAATCAAGAAAATTTATAAATTCACTTTGATGACAAAGAATAAAAAAATAAGCAACTGGTTTCAGAATATATATTCATTATCCAGACGCAACTTTACTTCAAGAAAAATATGAAATAAATTACATCTTGATGATCAAGAAAACTATGACACATTTATAGATGGCGCTATTTCTGACGAGCTTGTTTACTAAAACCACATTTTCCTAATACTATTTTTAGATGAAAATGAAAGATAGATAAAATAAATTCTGAATAAATTTATTATGTGAAAATAAAAATTACGTTTGCGAAATAAGAGAAAAGGATTTATTGGTTAAAACGCGATAATCCCAATGTATGAAATACAATATTTTCTTTCTACTAAAATGCATCAAATCCACTTAAGCGATTAAAAAAGAACAAACAATAAGGCGTAATTAAATGATTATTAAATGGCACATGATCACTTAGATTTTAACACATTTATCTTTCTAAAGATACAAGGAAATTGGTTGTTTATTTTAAAATAAAGCAAACTGTGTCAAGTGAACGGTGAAACGGCCAACATCCCGCATCGAGGCGTGACAAGAGTTTATAAGCTATCAAACAAGTGCAACTTAATGACAACGGCGGGAACTGGGTTAGGGACAGCACCTCGCACCCAGTCGAAAAAAAAAGAAGATAAGTAACAACACGTGGTTCAGAAACGATGGCAGACTGGGATGAATCTCCGACTAATGGAACCACAGCACCCACTAAAGGATTTGGTAGAGGATTCGGACGGGGTGTCCTGCAAGAAATAAATGAAAATAGCAACAATAAGCCAGGTGGTTTATCAAATGGATTCGGCAGCACAGGTGGGTTCGGTGGAAACTCTGACTCAAACAGTGGTTTTGGAGGCGGATCCAGTAATGGCTTTGGAAGCAGCGGATTTGGTTCCAAAAGTGGATTTGGTGGAAATTCAGATTCTGTCAGTGGTTTTGGCGGAGGTGGTAACAGTGGATTTAGTGGCTCCAAAGGTTTTGGGGGAGGTGGCGGAGGAAAAGGCTGCTTCAAATGTGGTCAAGAAGGTCACATGTCCAGAGAATGTCCAAGTGGCGGGGGACAGTCTAGAGGAAAGGGCTGTTTCAAATGCGGAGAAGAGGGACACATGTCACGAGAATGTCCCAAAGGAGGTGGTGGAGGAAGAGGCTGCTTCAAATGTGGTGAAGAAGGTCATATGTCCAGAGAATGTCCAAGTGGTGGGGGACAGTCCAGAGGAAAGGGCTGTTTCAAATGCGGTGAAGAGGGGCACATGTCACGAGAATGCCCGAATGGAAGCAGTGGTGGAAGCCGTTCAGGATTTGGTGGAAATTCAGGTGGTGGGTTTGGTTCATCAGCAAATGGATCCAGTTCAGGAGGTTTTGGTGGTTCCAGCTCTAGAGGGGGCTTTGGTGGCAGCTCCAGTGGTGGATTTGGTGGTTCTAGCTCCGGAGGTGGATTTGGTGGAAGTTCATCTGGAGGAGGATTTGGGGGTGGCAGAGACTCTAAAGGAAAGGGTTGTTTCAAATGTGGTGAAGAAGGGCATATGTCAAGGGAATGCCCAAATCAAGAAAACAAAGATGGGGAAAAGAGAGAAATATATATCCCACCAGAGCCCAGCACCGATGAAGATGAAATTTTCAAAAGTATTGAAAAGGGAATTAACTTTAACAAATATGACGATATTCCAGTGGAAGTTTCTGGTCGTTCACCAGTTTCGTTCATCACAAGTTTTGATGAGGCTGGTTTGAGAGACTCATTCTTAAAAAATGTGAGAAAGGCGAAATATGACAGACCGACACCAGTTCAGAAATATGCCATTCCAATTATTATGGCTGGTAGAGATTTGATGGCCTGTGCTCAGACAGGCTCTGGTAAAACTGCTGCATTCGTTCTACCAACTATCACAGCTATGATGAATGATGGGTTGAAATCAAGCAGATTTTCAGAAGTTCAAGAACCACAAGCGATCGTAGTTGCCCCTACAAGAGAGTTGGCTATTCAGATTCATTTAGACGCAAGGAAATTTGCCCATGGTACAGATTTACGTTCAGTGGTCTTATATGGTGGAACTTCAGTTGGATATCAAATGAAACAAGTTGAACAAGGGGCTCATTTTGTGGTAGGAACCCCTGGCAGACTGTTAGATACTATCAACAAAGGAAAAATCAGTTTGGCTAAAATCAAATTTCTCATATTGGATGAAGCAGACAGAATGCTGGATATGGGATTTGAACCTGATATCAGGAAGTTGGTGGAAACAATGGGAATGCCAGCCAAAACCGAAAGACAAACTCTTATGTTTAGTGCTACTTTTCCTGAAGAAATTCAGAAACTTGCTGCAGACTTTCTTAATGATTATCTATTTGTGACAGTTGGCAGAGTGGGAGGAGCCAATACTGATGTGGAACAAATGTTTTATGAAATTGACAGACTTCAAAAACGTGACAAATTGTGCTCAATTTTGTCAGAAACCGGCACTGATAGGACATTAGTATTCGTGGAACAGAAAAGAAATGCTGATTTCTTAGCTTCATATCTGAGTCAGTCTGTATTCCCAACTACAAGTATTCATGGTGATCGTTTACAAAGGGAAAGAGAGGAGGCCTTATTAGATTTTAAAACTGGAAAAGCTCCTATTTTGGTGGCTACAAGTGTTGCTGCCAGAGGTCTTGACATTCCAGGAGTCAAACATGTTGTAAATTATGATCTACCAGCATCTATTGATGAGTATGTACATCGTATTGGCCGCACAGGAAGGTGTGGAAACCTGGGTAAAGCCACAAGTTTTTACTCACACGATTCTGATTCTGCTTTGTGTAAGAGTTTGGTGAGAATATTGAAGGAAGCTAATCAAGGAGTTCCTTCATGGTTGGAGAGCTATGCAGCCAGTAGTATGGAAACTAGTGGAACATACAGACCTGGTGGGAAATTTGGCGGAAAGGATATCCGTAGAAATGGTGGAGGAGGAGGCGGCCAAGGTCAAGGTGGTGGTGATCAATGGTTTGACGGAGGTCAGGCTGCAGGAAATGTGGGAAATACAGCTTGCGGTGGTGATGAAGAGGAATGGGACTAAATGTATCAAAGACTTAAAACTGTGCCATTCAGACATGTTCTTATTGACTTTTTCGTTATGTTCTAAAATGTGCAAAACTTTTCATGTTGTGAAATTATGAAGTGATTCCATGTCAAAGGTAATGGCATATCGAGATATTTTTGTGCTAAGATATTTTTTATTTGTTTTCAATAGTTCAACTTGTTAAAATTATTATTATTCCAATCACAAAAAGTGATCCTGACAAATTTTATTTTTAAGGCCAGGTTAACATACTATGGTACATCATGAAAAATCATGGCACTCTGAGAGAAAAACTGCCGCAAGGTGGTAAGGTTTGGTTGTGAAAAGACCAGTATAAAATCTGTGATACTTTGCAATGAAAATTGTGATGCGATTTTAGCTACCTGTACTTTTTTATGCATTATTTTACCGAAATCTTTGAGGTTTGGTTTAGAGAAATCTCAGGGAAAAATGAAAATCATTTAGAATCAAAAATATGCCACATCAACTTTTGCTGTTAGAAAATGGCTTCAAAATTTAAAACCTGGTTTTAAATTTCTGTATGTATGTAAAAATGTATATAGGAAAGCGGAAACGCATCATGTGATAGACATTATTGCCGTCCAAAGCATAATGTTCAAAGATTTTATGTGCCAAATTTTTTATATTTGCCAGTATGTTGAATCTGATATATTGTATTTTTTGGAGAAATAGTGCTAATCTGGTCTCATTCTAGGTTCAAATTTGGTAAATTTCTGGTTCTGTAAACAGAACATTCATGATATTAGTAAGTTGATTGTGGCACTGTACCTTTTAAATTTTTGCAGGTTAAAATAAAAAATTTTATCAAGAACCAGAAATTTACCAGTGAATGCCTAGCTTCTATATTTTGTATTTTGAAAAAAAAACTTGATGTATTATTCATTTGTCAAGTCATTAAAAATTTACAGTTTAAGCTTTTCTTGATCTTTCAGATGAAATGAGATTTACTTAACAATATTTGCTGAAGTTTTTAGTCCATGAATTAAGTGATCTAGAGTGGAATTCAAGTGAATTTTTGAAAGATTCACCATGTAAATTGGGAAATATTTTAGTTTTAAGTTCAATTTGAATCTCATTTCATCTTTGTATTTTTACGATTAGCAATTCCAGTTCATCTTAACTGAAGGTGCTCTCACACTTTAGTGTTTACAAGTTGCTTGTAATAATGAAAGTGATCATAGTTCTGAATGACTGTTATTTGCAACCATACACAACTGGTGATCACTATGGTGTGACTTAAGGTTTTGTGCCATGTTTCTTGTCATCCAAAGCAAACACATGCACAAAATCGATTGTGAAGATAGAAAGAATGAATGGTAACTCTAGTACATGATTTTCAATCTCTTGTTTAGTGATTATTTATGATCTGACACCAACTGATTATCCTTGCTGGTTTGGATTCATTTCAACACTGAAATTGAGAAAAGGGAACTGCATTGTCCTGGTGGTGGAACAAAGATGACATGTCTGTAAGAATAGAACATGATTTTGAAATCTACTGTTCGAGTTTGCCTCGTATATGAATGGCCATGCAGTGGAAATGGGCTATAACATATGCATTAAAGCTGTCCCCACCCCCATCAATTCTGAATTAATATACAGAAACATCTGTCAGTCCGAAACTGTCCCGTACATCTTTTTAAAATACCATTGAAAGAAACTTGCTATATTAAGATCATCTTCCAGAGAAAGAAGTAGAAAAGTCATTATTCCCATGATTTATTGCATTCAGCAATTTCAAAATTCCATCAAAGGTTGGCAATAAATATGCCAATTTAAGACTGCTAATGGGAAACATTATAAAACAAAAATATTAAGTTCAGAGAGTTTATTCTCTAGAATATACAGGTTTATTTATTGATATGATTCAATATTAGGATATGAAAGTTACATAGTATTTACAATTCCCTAATAATTTCACACTATTTGTAGATTTAGATAATTTAGCCTTCTTACTAAACACATTTTATAATAAAATGAACTTTTCTTGGAATTATGCTTACATAACAGGACACTCAAAATGGTCTTAATTCTGCAGATTAATCAAAATAATTTCAAAATTTAAAAGGAAAAAATACTAAACAATTTGGATAATAAATGGTGAATATTCGAAAAAAAATATGAAAGGACTATGGATTGGTTATTAGAAACATGTCCTTCATTCTGTTTACATATATATATATTATATATATATCTCAGGATCAAATGAAAAATGTTTGATATATCTTCAAATACAAAAAGAGCTCCCCCCACCCCACCATTTTCCCTCCTCTTGAAACCACATATTTTAATTAGTGAAGTGTAATTTCAATTTGTAACAGGTTAAATTAACAAAACTATACAACAACGTTTACTACACGTTAGAGAACGTTAACTATATGATTAGAATGTTTACTATGAGTAAGAAGACGTTCATTATACGATTCAGAACGTTTACTATGCGTATGATAAGCGTAGTTGAAGGTTATAAAGTGGGATAGAGTAAAGATCGTTATATGGGATATACAAAATCACAAATTATATAAGCTTTATATGCGATATATAAACAAGGAAATGTGTTTTCCCCTTCTAAATTAGGTTATGTGTATTCATTATTACGAAGAAGATATGACGAGTACCCGGTATAAATTTTACATCTCTATCATACAAGTTCAGGACTAGCCCCAAATATTTGTTCACTAGACACTCCTTTCAAACAAACCACTAATCTAATATTCTATAGAACTCTCAATCCATGTAATATAGTCTTAATAATGTTCCCTATTAATATCACTTGAATTAAATCAAAATTTTGTGAATGAATATATGACATTCACCAACCTGTTAAAAATAAGAATGCTGAAGGAACAATTAGTTATCTAGGCCAATGCTGACTTTACATACACCAAATAATGCAATAATGATTAAAACCAAGGAACACGAGACTTGTTAGAAATCAGGTTTTCACCTTTAAATTAGAGAACAGAACAATAGGCTAGGATTCAAATTTTTTAATTGTAAGTGAAAACTTTAAGCCATAAGAAATTGTTACAGCAATACTAGAGAACATTTAAGACCAAAAACTAGGTTGAAATCAGTTAAAAATGCCAGCAGAGACAGAATTGAGAGAAAATATCAGATTAGAAAAACAGAATAGAACAGAACAATATATCACTGTCAACATATCAGTATCTGTTAGCCTTCTATAGAGTTTTCTATCACAAACTCGGCTGCTTGGGTAAAATAAAATCTTGTCAAAGTTCATATAAGTTTAAAACAAAACCTTTGACCTCAATTATAAATTATCACCAGAAACATTTTGTGAGAAAGATAGATTGTCTGAAATTTGATTCTTAATACTTCAAGTATACTTATGACTTCACTTATGCAAATAACATTCAAGTTAGTTTTAGAACATTTAAACATGAGCACACATTATGTCTTCAAAATCTGTTTTTACAGATGACAATTTTCAGCCAAAAGTTTTGAGTTGAAATTTCTTGGAGGGAAATGTGTTTCCTTACAATGTAAACTTTACCAAAAACAATCTAAGACTAACAATATTATTTTGATGCTGCTATTCTAATTCTCATAAAAATAATGAATAAAATTCAAAAAACTTTTTACTTTGCTCAAACGATAATAAATGATAGTGACACTCTTATCTGATCAGGCCAACTGTCCACATATTTAAACAAATGGTTTAGCAAGATACGCCCACTTTCCTGATACATTTTCAGTATTTCAAGGGCGGTCACCAATCTGCGTCAAGTGAACTAAAAATATAATTCGTGAAAGATATTGTTCATTTAAACAAACACACAAAATTTAATAAAATCACCTCTATCGCGTTCATAAGCCAACTAATTTTGATGCGTTTATAGTAAGTCAAGGGCAATAACTCAAATTCTGTTGATCGAAAAATCGTCAAATTTAATAATATAAATGATCACACCAAATTTCATTTCAATCGGATGAAAATTGTAGTCTCTTTTGTGTTCACAAACAAATCATGATGCATTTTTCCTTAGTCAAGGGCAATAACTAAAAAAACGTTCATCGAAAAATCTTCAAATTCGAACTTGACCAAGATTTCATGAATATAAATGATAATTTCATTAAAATAAGATAAAAACTGTAGCCTCTATTGTGTTCACAAGCCAATTGTGGACGGTCGGGTTGGCGATTAAAAACATCTTTTAATTCCATTTCGAGCAGAAAAGGTTTATATCTTTAACATTCACTTCATTCAATTGAATTGAACTGATCGGAATCTATTCTGAATCCCTTTAAAAGAGACTAAGAAAGATAATATTCTTAAACTTCTTTAACAAAAAATATTTCAAAGATAATAAACATACAACTTGTTATTTTATAATTTAACAGTAGAATTTAGAATGTGTTATATTATTATTTTGATTTGAATTGTTTAAATGTGGACAGAATTTTCTGATTCAAAATACAAAGCCGTGTGTGATATATGGATTAGGATTGTTGAAAAGAAACCAGTTATTATTGACAAGCAACTAGTCAACATTCAACAGAAGGCACTGGTACTGGCACTGGGCTAAAGTTATGTTTCTAAAGCAAATCGTTTCCTATTAATAAAATATGAATTGACATCAAAATGAAATGAAATGAATGGAGTTTTACGTCCTACAATTGACATCAAAGAAGAAAATCATATACGGTTGTCATGTATATTATACTTGGACCTAAATTAATAATTTATCAACTAATTGACACAAATCATGACAATAATAGAGGAAATGTGGGGGAAGTTTGGCAAGGACAAGTAACCTTTGTTATGTAGTTGTTGTCCTTGAAAAATAATTACCACTTTGTTTAAAGCCAGATCAATAGAAACATGAGTTAGTGAGTATATTTTTGCCTATATCAAAACTCAAGAGTAATATAAAGTGTACATGTGAATTAACCAGGGCTGCATTCATGACCGTATCTAGAAAATGTCTGACGAGAGGTACAAAAATGACCAGTATCTCTCCGAGGTAAGGCCAGAGGTCAGCCAGAAGCCAAAGAATTTCAGATGGCCTAAGATGAATTCTGAGAATTTATAGGGCATAATTTTCACCTCAAAATAAGACCTATCAAAGGGAAGAGGGGAGGCCATGGCAGCCCCGTCGCCAGGAATGAATTGGTGTTGGGGCTCAGATTTTGTACTCAGAAAATTTGAAGAATTAAAGGCCCAAAGAACTAATTTCTGACAATTTTGGGGTGCCAAAAACATATCAAAATCTATATCTTTTGATTTTGTACTAATACATGTACACTGTTAATGAATCAATCTCTGCTGAATTGATGCAGGCTTTGCTGGGGCTCAATTCTCACTTGGGGCCCAGCACCCACGGGCCCGACCCTAACGACAGGGCTGCCAGTAGGGTCAGATATTATTACGAGATTCATAGACATCAGACAGAATACTGGAATGGTGCAAATGAGTGAACCTGATATACAGAAAAACACTGGAAAACCTAATTACAATCTCTTTAAGTGTGTCTCTTGAGATATCAATGACTAAGTGAATAAGTATGAAGAGATTTGACCTAATACATTGGGTGGGAAGGGATGTCTTCCTCGAAAGTATCCTTACATCGTGTGTTTTTGCCTCTAAAATGTTCAAACTGTTAACAATAAGATGATTCAGTTTACCCATGACTTTTGACTGACTTTTATTGATAAGTTGATAGATGATATGTATGGAAAGCCAAAGAGGAAATATTTGCAGCTGTGCTGAGTGACTTTATGTCAAGTCAGTTCATTATCATACTAGGAAGATATCTCGCTTTCCAGAAAAAATGTTCATACTTAAATCTGATCTGTCAGATTAAATTATATCACACCAGGAACAAATTTCACGACAAATAAAGAAATATTTGGTCAGGAAGAATTTTCACCACTACAACGTACAATTTTCAAAAACCGGGTTAGGACGTTTTATCGCTCAGCAATAATTTTTTACATAATTATCTTGAGCATGTGGTCATTCAGGAGCATGTGACCACAAAGACAATGACCAAAAAAATAATATAGAATAGAATATAATGTTCTGACATAAAAAAAAAGTCGCCTGAACAAAGTCATTTTCTGTCCTGCAAATATTTCCGCTTTGGCTTGCCATAGATAATTGTCCACATCACAATAATTGGTCAGATTTAAATTGGGGGGAGGTGTGGATTAGAAAAGATGATTATTGAAAATAAAGACAAATGAAAGACAAATAAAAAGTCAGCCAATTGAAAAATATTGTTGATGAAAAATGTTTCAAGATGAAAAACAATTGAAAGTTTAGCAAAAACTGTAGGATATGTAAGAGGTTCCTGGCACCATTTCCAGATCAGAATTTCAACATTTTATTTCACATTAGAACATAGAAGCAAATTTTCTTTAAAAATTAGTAAACCCAGTACTTTTTGTCTGTACTTGACAGGAGTAAATTCACCTCTATAATGGGTACGCCTATGACCAATACACGTAAGTATGGGCGTATATTGTGGTTGCCCCTGTCGGTCCGTCGTGCTCACTCTACAGACTGAAATTCTCTATTGATTCTTTTGATCTTTTGTATTTGTGTCAATATCATTATGAAGATGTGCACTATTGAATTTGGTGATGATCTGATGATTTTCTTGAGAGATATCGTATAAAACTCTGATACCGCGTTTTTTTCACTTTTTTTGGCTCGTGCTCACTCTACACACGATATAGAGTTTAGTTTTACAGTTCACATTTAGCTCTTTATCAAGCTGCTGGTGGGCGTATTCGCTTGCCGCAAGCCTATGTTATCAATTTATTGTCAGATTCAAAATGTAACTCAATATTAAATATACATTTCACATATATTCATTTGCTATTTTTTGTATTCATCAATGCATATTCTGTCCAAATGTCAAGTGGTAATTTGAGGCCAAGGATAAAAAACTTGTAATAAAATATTTTTATTAATGATAATGTTGTTAACTTATTTAACATAATTATAATATAACCATATTTATTCACATTGTATAAAGGTTAGAGAAGATTACAGAAATAAAGACATTTTAATATATATTATAGAACTCTAGTTTCCAATACAGAGTGTTTCAATCTCTCAATGTGTAAGTGTATTATTAAATAGAAGCCTTATTCTTAAACACATCACGCAAGATAATTCAAGTGTTACAGTCTTCTGTTTGGTAAATCACCAAATTTGGTTTTTATTTTAGTTCCATTTTTCATTCGGATTACTGTATTTGTTGAAATCTTATTGAAGGTTTTGTTAATTACGCCCCAGCTCTGTCAGTAATATTATGTTGATTTCAAGTCAAGATATTTGCAGGATTAGAGATAAAAGACACAGGTAGCTAGAATATATTTCTATTAGCTGTAAAGCATAATATTAAATGATTTAATCCCCATTATAACATTTAACAATTCAAAACTTTAACACCCCTCATAATTTTAATGAACTCTACCTGTAATACATAATCCTATATTCTAGAGCTAAAGATATGCATGTATGGAATAGTTCAAATTAGTTTGTTGGGGTTTCTGATACATAACAATCACACACAGACTAAATAATAACAGTTTCTTTATACATATATATATAGGAATAAAATAATGCTATATAATGGTGTTTACACTAAAATTTATTTCAAAGCTGCAAATAATGGTTTTCGGTGTGGTGTGCGATGCAGGATTATCAATACAGTAGAAAATAGAAGAAGGGAACACTTGAGGTACAGGTTCAGATACTATGCTGACAAGATTTGCTTCTACTATTTCTACTACTGTATTTATAATCCTGCACCAGACACCTTACATCCTCTATTCACACCTTTACCCATCCATTAGGATACAGAATTACTTCCCTTTAATTGTAAGGACGAGTCTTTATAAAATCATCTGTAATTTAATGCCACCTTCCAACCAGTACATTATAATGTTGGATATCACCATGCTAATATACTATATGTCTCTATATGCTTTAAAAGGGTCACGATACAATACGAATCGCAATATGGGTTAATGGGATCAAATTTAACACTTTATCAATATTTACTGGTGATATTTGGTAATGTAGTTGATAGGACATAGGTGAATGTTTAATGTCTTATAAATAGTTACCAACAAAGATCAGCAAGAAAAATTTGTGATTCCATTCATCGACTTACAAAATATCCCAAGAAGAGAGGTATTGTCAACTATCGGTACACCACATAGCTATCCAATACGCATATTGTGGCATGTCACAAGTGGTAACATTTATCTTTTGAGTCCTGTTTCCCAAAAAATATAACAATTTGAATTTTATCATTTACAATAAACCTTCATAGCAATATATTTGGAGACATGAACCCTAGGACTTGTTTCATCAAAAATTTAATATTCATCATGAGTTTAATCTTCAACGAAAACATTTCTATGGTGACTAATATATTGTGAAGCTGATCTAATCTTGATACAACCAATCAGAATATGCCAGTGATTTTATTTTATCCAATTTGAGCAGTTTTCCCACAAAAATGGAGAAACAGGATGTAATGGGATTCTAAGAATAACCAAGGGCAGATAATAATTTTTGGTATAAACACAGCTATATTTAGATTTAAAAACAAAATATAAAATAAAAATTCATAAAATTTACAGTCACCATAAATGTTATCAATAAAATTTTGCAATTAAAATCTTTCATTTTTCATTAAAAAATCTGAAAGACTTTGGTTTCATTTTATACATTAAAACCAATATGGACTGAAGAGAGAGTAAAATGCCCTAATAATATAGTTTCAAATCAGATCTCTAACAGGCCATTATTAACGTTCTCAAGGTAGTCTGAAGTCATGATAGATGTCATGATAGAAGTAATATCTGCATGTGAGATAGTACTAATGCCCTGAAGTGTCTCAAATTTACTGGTATGTCTATGTTGGTTGTAGGAGAAGCTGGAACTGAGCTGTATCAGTTGTTGAATTAAATTTACAGGATTATGACCCTTTTAAGCCCAATTTGCCCCTATATCTAACTGTTATGAACAACCATAATGCCAATATAACAATAGCCCATAACACAGATTTGGTAGCCATTTAAATGCTAATAATGTTTAAATAATTGTAGCTAATAGCCATTACTTCAACTGTCAATTGGTAATATAATATCTGATATATATATATACAATTTTTTAGATTGAAACATTTTGTTTATTTTCTTCATTCCATTAGTGTAAATCCATCTTAACATATCTCCCTAAGACAATATCATGACGTCATATTGTTGTTTATTGTATGTATGAATGCCTTGAAAATATGGAATTGAAACAAGTTGGCAGTAAATTTTAACTATCTTTAACAGTGTTATTGATCTACTTAAACAATATTCTACTTTTGTCAGATCTCTTATTGGAATATTATCTTATATATATATATATTAAATTATGGACAATAATCAGCAGCCAAACTGAGATTTCAACAGATAATTACATTGTTCACATTTGATTCACAAATATTCTTTAAGTGGTATTTAGAGGTAGATATAACATCAAATGACAAAACACAACCTTATGGTATACAGCTCTTGACAATGTACATCTTATAACACTTTGTACAATAACGCTCAGAAGTAGTGTTCTATATAAACTGATGATGACAATGTAAATTGTTGAAATGTTGTGTACAATAAAATCAGAAAGTAGTATATCATAAAATTATTTTCCGTTATTTAATGGTTTCCTTTATTTAATGGTTTCCGTTATTTAATGGTTTCCTTTATTTGCTTTGAATCTTAACAGTGCTACTGTGTTTAAAATCAAGCATAAAACCTTGGAACAATCCATTACGAATTTTTAACCCAGTAAGCTTTTCCAACTGGTTTAATTTGGTAATTACATTTACAGTAATCATAGGATTATTAGGATATCATAGTAGTATTTGATTTGATTATTTAAGAAGCAGGACATTTTACTCTCTCGTCAAAGTTTAACTACATGTATTAACAATTTTTAGCACTAAATCTTTCTATTAAACAAGGATTTCAGTACAATCTTTCAACACTATTATAACTTTGGATAACATATACAAGTCCCTGATTCTCCAGGCAACCATGCTATGTCCAAACTTGGCCTACTTATTAAATTCTATATATATCTCACATATAAGATGAAGTATGATTTTTTTGACTGATTTTCATTGAATCATAAACTTGATCTTTCAAATTACCATGCTAATGTTTATATTACATATTTTGCCGAAAAAGGTTCTAAAAAAGTGGGATACCTCAATTGATTTGAAAATTACTTTTGCCGCCAACAATTATAATCATTTAATGAATCATAGCCAGCTCTTTTATATAATGGGGTGAAATGACAAGAACTGATCATAGAGATCTGTCCAAGGCCTTAATAATAATATCTAACAATCAATTTAAAGACAAAATGAATAATTTCTATTGAGAAAGATGAAGATGAATCTCAGTATGCTATTGATAAACAATTCTTCTTGATTACCAACCTTTTCCTCTATATTTTAAAGGGATTGTAAAGAAGTTCACAACTTTGTATAAGTACACTGATACCATTAATTTACACCATTCCAATCTTCAATCACATGTCTGTGGTTGTAATTCCACTAAAACTAAGTGTTTGATGATGTCAAAATTTAGAAAACCTCTATACAATCCCTTTGAGATTGTACTGAAATCCGTAAATTTGTTAAAACCTAAAATATAAACAGTTACCATCATCGTTTGATGTTAAAAAATTTTTCTTCTAAAACACGCACCAGTTTGTCTCGCATGATGGATTTAAAATTTTCATACCACTGTATCAACTTTTCTCTTCTATGTGTTCGATCATCAGGTGTTAAAGTCATTTCTTTCTTTAAAATTCCTGGAAGTTCATTCCAGTTTTTGATATAGATCACAGGGGCATTATATTCTTTTAAAAGGCGTAGCGGTGACAGGGGGGAAGCACTGGACACCCCACAATTTCCAGGGGTCATTTGATCTTCTATAACAGGCACGGAACCATAGGCCATGGCCTCGTATATTCTATAACACTCAGTGTTCTGTCCAACAGGGTTTAGCGTTAAATCACTCTGAGCTAATGCCCTTATATAGTCATCACGAGTTTCATCTGTTTCCTGGGGTAACCACCTGAAAATACATTCAAAAATGAGAATTCAAATAAAAATTTGATATTTTGTTCATTCAATAAAGTAGGTTCTTAAAAGAATAATATGAGTGCCATATTTTCAAAATAAATATACAAAGATAAAATGCAGACTTCAATTCATATTCACATGGCTTAAAGAAATTATTGTTGTCTGATTCAAATATACAGTTATCTCCCTTCTACTGTAAAAGACCATTTTTTACAGTTCATGATCAATTTTAAAAGTAAGACACAAAACTATTTTGTGCACACTTTTTAGGTTTTAAAGTTTCAATTGTCGATACAAAAAATTATTTGAATAAAATCCCAATCAAGACAAAACTATCCATTACATTCTCTTCCTTCAGATCTCTCCAGGTCTGCTATAACATGGGTTTTGTTTTTCGGGAATTATCCCAAAGTGGGCTATTTTTTTTTAGGGGAAATGGGGCTCTTTGTAGTCAAATATAAAGTTTTGGCAATTCAATAGTCAATCTATTTAGGCTATATTCTCCGATATGAAAAAGATTTCAGTTCAGGTAAAAACCTAATAGTAAGGATTTATAGGGCGAACAATCCTGAAAGGTGCAAATTAAGAAAAAAAGGTTAAAATCTCCTGCCCTATAATAAGACAATACTTACTCATAACGAGGTTTGATAAAGAACTGTGATTTATGTGTATTATTATTTAATATATTTAATAAAGTTTCTCTAGAAGATTGTTTATAAATAGTTCCTAGAAAGTTACAGGTATATTTTCTATTAGAGGACACAGGTAGGTGTGCTGTATCTACTTTAGGAAAGTCTCTATACCTGAAAATAGACAGAATGATTTAATGAGTAATTGAATGAATGAATGATAAATTAGTTCAGAGTTTGGAGAATCAGATTAAACATGATATACAATCAAAAAATTTAAACTGTTTAAATAGTTACATGTATATACAATTAATAACAAAATATTTTAACTGTTAAAATAGTTACATACAATCAGCTAAATATTCAAGGAGCAATTTCAGCTAGATTTAACATTTTTCAGATTCAAATCCCAACATATATTAAATGTAACAAATTCTCTTTGACAAATAATTGTAATGAAAGATTGATAAAATAAAAGCTGTATGTCTACTATCTAAACCCTTAATGATATCTTGAAAACCTTGTCCTAAGCATGATTATTAGGGACATTTAATTCAACTGATCAAACTAAATGTATGGATTTGTACATTAGTTTTTTTAAGAAATTCCTTTATAAATGTTCTTTAATATCTATGAATATGCCAACTCAGTAACAGATTAAAACGCTTAAATGTTTAGTTAATTCTTCAAACTATTAAAAAGCAATTAACTTGCAGAATACTGGTCACCAACATGACCATGACATTCAATGCAACATTAGCCACAGACAGTATTGACAATATAGACCGAATGCTGTTATTAAATACTGCAGACGGTTTAGGTCAATATCTGGCTAATTGAATGATAAACGACACGTCAAAAAAGATAGAATATCAGCCAATAAACTCACTAACAATTTTTTTTCCTTGAAAAATTAGACGCGATTTAGAATTCAATATTATGATCGTTTATCATGAAAATGAGATAAAAAAAAGTTGCTGTTAATTTCACTAAGGATCAATTTAAACCATAAAACCTTCTCCTCCAGAGACAACTATTCTTCGAAACAATCATTCGAAATAAAAATGTATCTAGAATCTCCATAGAGAATAGTGAAAGTTTTTAAAAGTCGGAGATGATTTATTTTTGACAATGGAATCAATATTGAGACTCTAGAGACTGCATAGAATACATATTACATATAAATTGTTTTATTTTCTATATTTCATTGTCTACAGTTAATCTAAGTTTGCCTGATCTTCCCTCAAATCTGAGTTGATATGATGTATGCTCTCTCCCATGAGAGCACTAAATTTTATTAACTAGAAAATTGTTTTAAAGTTTCGCTTTCCTGTTTCTTAAAACAGAAATCTACTTAGTGCACATGATCTTTTTACATTCATAAGATTACAATTCATCTACAGAAGAATTGAATTTAGTTGAAATGATTGGACTCTTGAAGATCTATCTTCTGCTAAAATTGGGACTCGATACACCAAGCAGCCAATTATTAGCCAACTCAGTTGGGGGATCTATTAGTGCTTAGCCTGTTGCATGACTATAGTTTATCATAACATCTAGATACATTTTCCATGTCAGCTTCCTCCAATTGCATTACATTGGCTGAGATATCCAAAGGTATTCTGTATAACCTATGGCTGGATTGAACCCAAACCCCTAGGATAGCGATAAAGATAAAGTCATCTTTAATGTGCACAGACTGTAGCTCATAATCCCATCTGAATGAATAGATACTTTTGCCATGTCAGTTGGCTATCCATATGGTTGAAGGTGTGGTCTGCATTGAAACTTGACACCCCTAGGGTAGCCAACAAGTGTGTTACTTGATAAAGATCTATTTCGACTGAAGAAAAAAGAGACAAAAATATATCTCGATACTTACGTTGCTACACCAAGAGGCCATTGATAAAAATTTACATTGTCTACATCACGACTGTCATAAACTAAAAACACAAATTTGATTGGTCCACCACGATTATTTAAATACGGTTTTATCCAATCATTGTTACACTGTTCATTGCCTAGCAACACTACAGCAGCATTTTTTAAATATGGCAGCGTGGGTAGAAAGTCTAACCATAATTTGGCAAAGTCTATTTTTGATGTTTCTCTTCCATTGAGCACTAACAATAAATTTTCTGTGTTCCTTGGAACTTTGGTGGGAATCACACCTGGACCCGTCCGGAACCTGAAATGAAAAAAAGAGTACAGATGATACAAATGACAAATCATTTGTAGGATGGTCTGTAGCACAATCAGTTAGAGCGTTTGAATGACATCATTTGCTTGCTTATGTTGAACAAATGGTGGTAGTGGGTTCCAATCTCATTCAGAAAATAAACATCTGATGACCTTGTATAAGTAATTTTTTCTTATTATACCAGTCAACCCTGAAAATTGGTACGGATATTAGGCTGCAAGAGGGTTGGCCAAAGACCAGCTGATAGACAGGATCCTGCTGAATCCATGTCTCAGAGAGTGTTGATGATGATGATGATTTTGACATTGTTCTGAAAAGAGTTACTCATCTTTAGCTTTATCTAAACATAGTAAAAAGTGCTCAAACTAGTATCATATATTCTAAAAGAATGGATAAGTGACAGATGATATGTTCACTTCTACCACCTACTGCCCAGAAATGAAATTGAACAAGTATCCTATTAAATTTCACTACTCTAGCAGAGAATATTTGGCTATGCCACCTACAATAACACAGTCTTCAATATCAGACCAATATTGGAAGAAGGAATTGGTTTAATCTGTAATTCTCGCCAACCATAATAAGAATAATTTACTGACTAAAATACTTGACATATTTATAAACTTGAGGGTGGTATAGATTAATTGTTTCCAATATAAATAACAGAGTATTCAGTTACCAAATCAAAGTACAGACTTTCAAAATCTAGATACTTTAGTGCAGGATACTGTCAATCAAGCAACGATACATCGTTTTGGCAGACCCTGACATGGAGTAGTAGTTAAAAACTTGAGTGTGGTGCAGATTAATTATTTTTAATAAAAAATATGTCAGTATTTAGTTAATGGATCTAAGTCAAGACTTTCAAAATTCTAAGCTAGATATTTTTAGTCTCGCTATTGTTACTGATGTTTGATATTTCATGCCACAATATAACACATATTGCAAGACATAGGCTACAATATGAAATTGGGTTAAAGATTAAAGTAAAGAGCCAGTTTCTTCAAATTAAAGGTGTTTTTTTCAAAAAATAGTAACCTATCATTCCTGCTTTTTGTTAACTTCCAAACATTTGATGCCCAATAAATTCAGCCCATCAGCACCCAGTTCTGTATATTTGCTATTATTTTTAAGTTGAATATTTTTAACAACCAACCAAACTCTCAAGTATGTGTCTTTAACAATTTATTATTATAAAACCAAAAATAGCCCAAGAAAAGCTTCTGCCTTAATATTCAAACCTTACCATTGAAATTCAACTTTATTCTTGACAAAATTTTAACAGATAAACAAGTAATGCGTCAAATTGAGTGAAGTCTCAATTCGTTTTCTTAAAAATCTATTTTTTTCAGGACAGAAATTTTACAATATCCTTATCCTAATATAATCTTCCAAACTCTGTCATAAAATTTTCAAATAGAAAAAACTAAAATTTACAAGATTGGATACATCAAAATGACAGGAAAAATCCATTTTCAATTTTATTCCTTGTACGTGGAAAATTGAAAAAGTTGTAATAATCAAGTTTAAAATCTAGAATATGAGATTGAAGTGCTGAATAAAATCATATTGACATTTATTGAAAATATCAAAGGGTTAGAAATAATAAAATAAAAAAGGTAGCACTCTAGTGTACTCAAGAAAGATGGAATACATTTCAAGAATCAAGGAGGCTGTAGATAAATCCTTTAGTGCACTTCAATGTTTTTACATTTTGTTGGTTGCTTTTGTCAGGAAAACCTTCTAAATCTCTGTAGGCATGTGACAAAACAACTATTATATACAATAATAAGAATAAGGCTTCCTTTACCAGCATTTAAACCATGGTCTCCAATCAAAAACTACAATGTTTGGTAAGACTTGTGAATTTTAACTAATCAAAAATCTTTTTTTACAAGGGTGGTCACCTTTAATGATATAATGTTCACAAGTTTTGAGAGTGTGTTTATATTTACAAAACAAACCGTATGTAGATGAGTGTTGATTGGCTGGTATGAAAATCACATGATATAATGAATATTTATTATCATATTTCATGACAGAGATATATGTATTAGTTTTTGGTGTATCGAAGAGACAATGGACCTTTTTAACATCTTTACAATGTCAATCTTTAATGTAAGGAGCCTATTGAAGTCAAGGTATTAGACACATTTCGTAATAGCTTGACATTGTGAAGATGAATTTTATATAGAGGTTTCATTTTCCATTGCCTTCTCTCAATATGTAGATAATAAGATTGAAAATAGAAATCTATTTCAGAACTAAAATCTATCAACAATTTCATTATTTTTAACATCCAGTTTATTTTTCTCATTTTCAGATAACTACACCTTTAAAAATATTGAGTGTTTATCAAATCAAAGCGTGCAAGTTAAATTATCTGTTTGGAAAGTGAAACTTTAATAACATTACTGATATCATGGTAGTTTTAATATAGATCTATTTTATTACAGGAAATATCAAATCAGGGATGTTGATGAAGATGTTTTTGTCAGTCATGTCTGCTCCACGCTAAAGGGTTGTTGAAAAATATTAAACAGTCATGTCTGATTCGGCTGTTGTTTTGGCTTAATGCACCAGTTATGTGTGATTTGAGCTTAAATAGTTGATTTGATTTTATTTGCCAGTCATGTCTGATTTGAACACCAAAATGTTCAGCTAAGATTATTGTTTAAGATCATTCAAACACAAAATGGCTATTTTGTTTCTATTTCATATTATCAATAGATGCATTTTCTACTTAAATAAAAATACATTTTTAATTAAGAGCTACTCAAATGTATTAATTTCTCAAACTCTAAACTTTAGAATAAATAAAGATACTTTTTGTATTTCTTACCTCGAACTGTTGTTTTGAATTATTTAAACATTGCATTTATTGTAAGTTCAAAGATAACCTTTAAACTTTTTCATATTTCATATTAATCTACCTTGATAAAAACAGAATTAAACATACAAAAATCTAAAAATAAATCATGTTTTTATCTATTCTAATGTTCGGTGTATTTTCAGATAAACTAATAAAACCAACAAAGTTTTATCTAGAAAAATACACCAAGACAGATAAGACTGCAATATTTGATATTTCCTTTTCAATATTTCGCGATTTTAATATCAAACATTTTTTTCATCAAAATTTTTTGTTGTTTGTTTAATTTTTCCTTTTTGTCAGTGACATTTGGATTTGAATTTAGATTTAATATCACACAGAATCTGGAACATGATCTTAAATGTTTTAAATGTGAATTGTTTTAAATGTGCATTGTTTTAAATGTTTTAAATGTGCATTGTTTTAAATGTTTTAAATGTGAATTGTTTTATATGTGAATTGTTTTAAATGTTTTAAATGTTTTAAATGTGCATTGTTCTAAATGGGCATTGTTTTAAATGTTTTAAATGTGCATTGTTTTAAATGTTTTAAATGTGAATTGTTTTAAATGTTTTAAATGTGCATTGTTCTAAATGGGCATTGTTTTAAATGTTTTAAATGTGCATTGTTTTAAATGTTTTAAATGTGAATTGTTTTATATGTGAATTGTTTTAAATGTTTTAAATGTGCATTGTTCTAAATGGGCATTGTTTTAAATGTGCATTGTTTTAAATGTGAATTGTTTTAAATGTGAATTTTTTTAATTGTGCATTCTTTTAAATGTTTTAAATGTGCATTGTTCTAAATGGGCATTGTTTTAAATGTGCATTGTTTTAAATGGACATTGTTTTAAATGTTTTAAATGTGCATTGTTTTTAATGTTTTAAATGTGCATTGTTTTAAATGTTTTAATTGTGCATTGTTTTAAATGTTTTAAATGTGCATTGTTTTTAATGTTTTAAATGTGCATTGTTTTAAATGTTTTAAATGTGCATTGTTTTAAATGTGCATTGTTTTAAATGTGCATTGTTTTAAATGGTCATTGTTTTAAATGGGCATTGGTTTATATGTGCATTGTTTTAAATGGGCATTGTTTTAAATAGGCATTGGTTTAAATGTGCATTGTTTTAAATGGACATTGTTTTAAATGTTTTAAATGTGGATTGTTTTAAATGGACATTGTTTTAAATGTTATAAATGTGGTTGTTTTAAATGGTCATTGTTTTAATTGTGAATTGTTTTAAATGTGCATTGTTTTAAATGGACATTGTTTTAAATGTGCATTGTTTTAAATGTGCATTGTTTTAAATGGACATTGTTTTAAATGTTTTAAATGTGCATTGTTTTAAATGGACATTGTTTTAAATGTGCATTGTTTTAAATGTGCATTGTTTTAAATGGGCATTGTTTTAAATGGGCATTGTTTTAAATGAACATTGTTTTAAATGTGCATTGTTTTAAATGTTTTAAATGTGAATTGTTTTAAATGTTTTAAATGTGAACTGTTTTAAATGGACATTGTACATTGTTTTAAATGGCCATTGTTTTAAATGGCCATTGTTTTAAATGTTTTAAATGGGCATTGTTTTAAATGTTTTAAATGGGCATTGTTTTAAATGCAATGTTACAACCTTCATTCCATAAATGACCATAAAACAGCCATATAGCATTTCAATTTGTTGATTTCCCATTCATATTGAATTACAACTTTCTAGACAACCTAGATATACATTTAAAATTTCTAACATTCAAAAAGAATTGCTATTTAATATTCACGATTAATTCTAATTATGATAAAAGAGAAAATAAAATGACAAGTCGTGCTGAAGGATTATGGGAAATAGAGCAAAAGGATTATGGGATTTTATTTAAAGTGGAATTCAATGTAATGATTAAGCTCTGATTTCACTTAGTTAAAAATAGCTTTATGCTTGCTCTTTAGAAAATTTGATTATTTCATTTAAATGGTAAAGGATAAGACTGGATGGTTTATCAAAGAATATTCAAAGCTGGATTTCTACAGAATGAAACCTCATTAAATAAATTGCATCTTATCTGCATCACTAGTCAATCTATGAAAGGGGATAGTTAATCACAACCATAAAATCAGAAAATTGGATTTCAAAGCTTTATTCAGAATAAGATAATATCACAAACCGTAAAAATAACAATTTAACACAGGCCTGCCCTTCTGAATACAGCAGAAATGTTCTGTCTTGCATATAAGTAAAAAATACTTAATCAGTGATGTCTGTTGTTGCTCTGAGCACACAATACTCATCTTTTGTGATATAACCCAGAGTAAGGTGATGTCTGGTACTTTACAAACAGACAATAGTACAACAGTGTACCACTATCTGGAATAGAACCCAGAGTACGGTGATGTCTGGTACTTTACAAACAGACAATAGTACAACAGTGTACCACCCTCTGGGATGTCCCAGGTCTGGTATGTTAAAAACAGACAATAGTACAGCAGTGTACCACTCTCTGGGATGTCCCAGGTCTGGTACGTTACAAACAGATAATAGTACAACAGTGTACCACTATCTGGAATAGAGTAGGGCGATGTCTGGTACTTTACAAACAGACAATAGTACAACATTGTATCACCCGCTGGGATGTCTCAGGTCTGGTACTTTACAAACAGATAATAGTACAACAGTGTACCACTCTATATAATAGAACCCAGAGTTAGGTGATGACTAGTACTTTACAAACGGAAAATAGTACAACATTGTATCACCCTCTGGGATGTCTCAGGTCTGGTACTTTACAATTAGACAATAGTACAACAGTGTACCACTCTCTGGAACACAACCCAGAGTATGGTGATGTCTGGTGCTTCTACAAACAGACAATAGTACAACAGTGTACCACTCTATGTAATAGAACCCAGAGTTAGGTGATGTCTGGTACTTTACAAACAGATAATAGTACAACAGTGTACCACTCTCTGGAACACAACCCAGAGTATGGTGATGTCTGGTGCTTCTACAAACAGACAATAGTACAACAGTGTACCACTCTATGTAATAGAACCCAGAGTATGGTGATGTCTGGTACTTTACAAACAGATAATAGTACAACAGTGTACCACTCTCTGTAATAGAACCCAGAGTTAGGTGATGTCTGGTACCCTACAAACGGAAAATAGTTCGACAGTGTACCAGCCTTGCCCCCTCGCTTCTGTAAAAAGAACAGATAACAGCACAAGAAAGAATCATCCTCTTTAATAACAAAGCCTTTGGGGGGGTGGGGAGGGACATCTGACAAAAGTGCAATTATCTCTGTCACTTTAATGAACATTACCTGACTGGCAGTAGGTAGTCACAGAGTTCTATCACTAGCATCACTTGTCACAGTAATTATAGTACTCAGAGTACAGCTCAAGTTTAACTGAGGTTTCTTCCCATTATGAAACCTATCAACCCTTAGTACATTTCCATTCATCAATTCCTAGTTGAAATACAATATTTAAGTTATTCTGATTGGTAACACTAGAAAAGCAATCAGTAGGGAAGTCTATTTAAAAACAATCATTGTCTTGTTGAGGCACGAATCTTAAGATCTGTCCTACTATAGAAATCTTACTATACCCTAGTTCTCTGAACTGATCTGATCAACTTGGGTCATATAGTAGTAAAACTGATTAGTCAGGGGCCTGTTGTTGGAAACTTCATAACTTTAAGATAATCATAAGAAAGGACACTCATTGATCGATTTCTTTTGCTTTCCATCAGAAGCAGACGTTAACTTGTCATCTATCAACAAAGACATAGTCTACGATACCAGTTAGCTGAAAGCTGATATTCATTTGTCATCTACCAACCAACCAACCAACCAACCAACCAACCAACCAAAGAACATTGTAATCATGTTGGATTCAAACTGGCAACAAATCTTGAGCACACAAGACCTAAGTTTACTGGAACATCTGAATTACTAGTGACCATGAAAACTGGATGAAAGAATCCTAGGTTGAAGAAACCTCAGATGTATCCATTACCTGACAGCCCTTAACATGTGTATAGCCGTTTACATATTAGTTTTTGACAACAGACCACCAGAATAAAAGGCCATTTAGTAGTAACAGTAATTAATTTGAAGAGCTTTTAGGTACTTTATATGGACAGAAAGACCATATTTCATCTACTTTATATATAATTCTACAGATTGACCATATTTCATCTACAATCATATTTAGTTACTTTACTATCCATATACAGGAGATAATATACTTGACTAATGCTAAGAAGACTACATTAAATGTTACAAATAAAAAATCTGTACAAGCAAGACAATTCTGTTTATCACTATCTCATCCAAAGTATGTCAATATCGAGAGTAAAAGTTGTGTAGTAGTGGACTCCTCCGAGAAGTGCCATCAGGTGCTTCAAAAAGAATAAGCATGGTCTGCTTCGCACACGACACCTGCAACTACCACAATGGTAGATTGCTCTGTCAATAAATACATAGGAAAAGCATCTGGACTGATAAAGTACGGATGCTGTTATTTCCAAACACTTCATATAGACAAGAATTACATTAGAGGTAAAATATGATTAACAATGAATTTCTGAAGACAGTAAGTTATATCATATAAGAAAGAAGTCAGATATATCATTTGTGGAGTATCTAGTTCAGGCATTTTTTGACCAGTTGGCCAGTTTTTTCATCCATAACCTTTAAGATTGTCATTTAGAAGATAAAATAATAATTGTCAAGTTAATAAATCAAAGTAAATCTTTAAAACCTGCAGGTTTTTTGGTTGTGTTAGTAAAGTTCAGTTACATTTGAAAACAGAATATTTTGTTAAATGGACTCAAATATATGATTCCTCAAGTCTGTAGTAGAGTTACAAAAAAAATGAGCACCACTTGTTCATGTTTGGCATCTCGGGCAAGTTCACCATTGCAACCAGCAACATGTTGTTGGGTATTTGTATGATAAATTTTGAAAGAGAAATAGCATCAGTTCCTCCTCAATGCCCATTACATATAAATAATGTTAGTACTTACTTAAATCTAATATTATTTATTTTTTTAACACCATAACTCCAAACACCTCCCAACTTTTCTTCTAAATCTCCATTTAAAATATGTTCCCATAGATACAGGCCTGAAAATATACAAACAACCTAAACATTAGAATACAAACAGTACAGTGGGGAACGATCTGAAGCTTGACATCTTACTGTCTGCACCATATTTGATTATGATGACAGAAGTGTGGGAGAATAGCTCAAAAAGGTAGCAAGATTTCAAAGGCCTGGATCACTCAATGGACTACTCAATGAAAGAAAGTGGGTAGTGCTCTCTGGAACGAGCTCTGAATCCTTCAAATATGGACAAAAATGATTTCTTATGCTGTAACAAGCTCTTTTGAAAGTAAGTCCAATAATGCACACCAGTTTCATGAAGTCAGTTTACATGAAAATCACCAGTCTGTATTAGCATTATATTATGCTGACTGAAGTTGTGACTAGCAAATAGAAATCTTGTTATTTTTCACCAATTAAGTATCAAAATCTTGTAAGATCTTGAGGAGAAATCTTATCTAAAATGTAATATCTAAATGTATCTGATAGCAACAGTTTATGCTCAGTTAGGAGAGTTGAGGCTTGTGGACTAATGTGAGTTGGGGCACCTTCCCTGAGAATGTTTATGAATTTATGAGACCGTCTGTAAGTCAATTTGATGCCTGTTAATGGAAGAACTCAATATTTTCAGTAAATGCTATTTCACCCATTGATATACTGCTGGTTGCTTAATTTGATTAATTTAAATAAAATTATGAGGGTGGGGCCCGAGGACTTGGTTCAACCAGTCACTATGGCAGTTGAACCACTGAGATTATGTTTTTCAAGCCAAAATTTCCTCACCATTAATTTAATCAAATACAATATAAATATTACTAAATCTGCCATGCTGCTCATTTTAAAAATCTCTACTTATCCTAATCAATTTAAAGCCCAAGTAGATTTCAATAAGAAATTGTTCCATCATTAGTCGCAAGGGATCAAAGACGAGAGTTTTTTTTACACAGAATAAAATGTAATCAAATCAGGATAAATGAGTCAAGGGAGATAATTTGACAATGATAGATGAATTTTCAGCTCTGATTTTTCAACAATTTCACAAATTTAATTTTATTTATTGCTACATGTCCTGTACTTATTATTGATTCCGCTCAAAACTCGTCAATTTTCCAGAAGATGAGGCGCCAACGCGTTTTCCAAACAGTGTTAATGCTTTTTTTTTTTAATAAATGCATGTTATTACATGTTACTGTATTGTTATTGATCACACAAAATTCACACAAAATTTCACAGAAAAAAGGCATTAATGCATTTCCAAATGGTGCTAATGTTTTCTTTCATAGAATAATTCTGAAATGCTGAGTGTTTTTTATATCTAAAATACGAACTTAATTTCAACACATGGTATAAATTCAGTTGAACGAGATCTTTATAAGATAGTAAAACATGTATAGCAAATATAAAATGACTATATCCAATATATTTCATTTTAAATATCATAAATATGCACCTCAAATAGTTACTTTCAGGCAAAAGAAACATCATGTACATGTATCATATTTTATTTTTAAATATATATGTAAATTATTGTAAATACATCAGAGAAAGTAAGTGTTACTGTTATGTGCACTTTAAGGCAATAAAAAGAACTAATAGAATGTTAAATGAGTGACCATAGAACAGGAAACTGTCTGTGCCTGTTTTTATCAGTATTTTCAGAAGTGACATCTCTTCAGTGGAAAGAAAGAAACAACTAACAGACTGCTATAGCACCTCACAATGTGTCCATCGATGTTGCGTTAGGTGGTCTCATAAGAACACTGGCCTAGTTCACAAAATAAAGATTTATGTCAGTGAAGTGCAAGTAAAGGGTTTTAAATAATTATATAAGTATATAAATGACTAGTCTTTATAATATCATTTGTCTCAGTAAAATGTTCGACAACATAACATAAGAAGAATCAGATTTCTTGATGATGATGTTGTGTGACAATCAACTATTTGACTATGTCAGTATTACAACAGACTGTCAACAGACTTATTGATTTGATAATTAATATAATAGAGACAGACAGCAGTATAATGTAGCTAATTAAACTCTATATTGACCACTACTGACCGATATAGTACTGGATGTTCAGAACAGGAAATGATCCAGTCTTTTATTATTTGCATGAGAATAGTTTTCAATTACCGCGGAACAGAAACCTTTACTTGTATCTTCAGATACATCACTAGCATCACTGACCTAAATATAACACTAGTCTATCTTCAATAACACCCAACACTTATCAAACACTTTATTTAGAATTCCATCTTTACCAAACTTTTGCTCACTGCTTAAAAGATAGGTCAGATTAGATCCCCTTCCATCAACTCCCTGAAGCTTGTGCATTTGATATTTGAATTATTTGTCAATCCTGTGAATCGTTCAGAAGTACAGTGATTTATTTTCATACTAGGCCCAGACCAGTGCTTCTTTTGGAAAGTTTGTTCTATAATACCCAATACTAGATAATCAAGAAAGATGGAATAGTTTTATCAAGCTTGAGCAAGTGTGAGCTGCTTCGGTCCATGTTAAAGATTAACAGACAGCACCAAAAATTATAACACTAGATAATCAGGACTAGAAATAGACCAGTCTTCAATTAGGGAGACAAAAAAGGTGTGAGCAAGTTCTATTTCATTAACAATACAGCTAATTTTACAATCTCTCCAGATGACAATAACCTACTGACCACTAGACAATTAAAACAGGAAATGAGATAGTTTTTAATTAATGAAGAAATATATGGTTGAGTAAGAGGTATGCTTCATTTCAATAACAACACAGTAAAACAATACAGCTTGTTAGAAGCACTGACCTAAATATCTTGGATTATTATAACAAGAAATGGGATGACTTGTTTCGCAAGATATTCAATATCTAATTCAGAAAGCATGCCTTATTTCATTAAAAATTTCACTACAGTCTCTGTAGTTTTAATTCAAAGTAATTTTAAAGCTATCATTACTGTTTTGAAGCTATTATGTTTTGATATTCCAATTAATTTAAAGTTAATAAATAGAATTCCATTTACAGACATAAGTATCAAATTAAATCAGAGCCAAGCTCTTTTAAACACAGACAGATCTTGTTTTGAAATCAAATTTTCAATTCTAATGTTTTCCAATAAGTTTCTAAGTAGCTTTGTTATTTTCTATACTAATATTTCATAGTCTGTATTGCCTTCGTTAACTTTATATTAACCTTTTACATCGAAGTCTTCATTAAGCTACTCTTCATTAAATAGGAAGTTTACAAGAACACACTATAATACATCTCTTAATATTGTAATGGACAAATGACAATAAGGAAACAAGGGCATTAACCTAGCCTTTTTTCTCTCCAACTATCAAAGAATCTATTACTGTTACAATTGCTATCACATTGGACCTTGTTTTCTCCGAAGTAGTAACTGCTTTGTCAGTTCTTTTCTTGATATAATTTTTTTGCAAAGAAGTCTGAAAATCAGCTTCATAGCCACTGAATAATAAAGTATTAGCTATCTTTCTAATAATGGATCTAAAATTCTATCGGGCTGAAATCTGAATCTAATGAATTTATACATTTTTACACTTTGCGTTAATCTGATCCCATGATGGTAGTATTCCATAACAACACGTCAAATCCTTAACAACAAGTCAAAACCCTAGCAACACGTACGGTGCCAACTATTGTCTGAGATTGATTGATAAGAAATATACTAGAGGTCTCAATTTCAGGAAATTAGGAACCAGCTTTGAAAACTGATCCAAATTAGATCTTTTCAATCGGCACCTTGATATATTCGAGATATCATAATTGTGAACTGACCAATAATATCAGACAAAATCAAAATCATTACTTATAATAAGGAGAAAACCAGCATATTCCAATATAAAATTAACAATTATAATTCATTAGACCACAAACTTCAATTGTAAAGCACCTTGTTATATCACTATTAATCACCTGGGCTCAGAAGATATTAAATTCTGAAACTTATTTCGTCAATTTCATGAAAGCACTTTTAGTGCCATAAGCACTCATTTATGATCCTTTCTCTCTATATATATATATCAACATAATCTGATAAAAAAAAAAGTGTTCGGTCTGATTGGATCTCCAACTAAATGTCCAGTACTGTCTTCAAACATGAAAGATGACATTATTCATACTTACACTTACACATACTCAAATTTCAAATTTCAAATTACTCTACATCATGATTAAAGTCATGCTAAGAGAAAACATGCTCCCAAGAGCTTTGTGTAACAGGTTGAAACATCAGAAGTGCAAAAAAACAACAGAATCTAGAGGCAGTAAGATGTAACAATAACAATAATTCTAGAGAACCATTTAACTAATGGTACAAAATAAACACTATCAATTACATAGTATTGATTGTAGAGTGGTTTTAAAGAGATTTATAAATTTATACACGAAAGCACTGACCTGGAAATTAAGGAGTACTTCATATCTGTCTATTATAGATTGTTTATTTAGAAAATATATAATTGAAAAAACGGGACCTTAGATTACTACCTTTTGAATTCCATGTAGACCCAAACCTTTACATGCTATCCAGGTACTAAGACGAGGAATATAGGAGTACTGACAAGTAGAAAAGATGAGGGGTCAATATTATATATAGTTGAACTTATGTAAGTGGAGGCATGAGAAGTGTTAAGGATGCCATTATGACAAACCAAGAAGCAGAGTGACATCAGGTATTTGACTATGTACTTCATTATAACATTGTAAATGTTCGTAATATAGGTTTCTATAAATCTTTGTTCCACCAGGATTTCCAAGATTACGGTTCAACCAGAACTTCAAAGATTATGGTTCAACCAGAAATTCAAAGATTATGGTTCAACCAGAAACTTCAAAGATTAGGTTTAACCAGGATTCCAAGAATACTGTTCAACAAGAAACTTGATGATTATGGTTCAACCAGAAACTTGAACATTACATTTCAACCAGAAACTTGATGATTATGGTTCAACCAGAAACTTGAACATTACATTTCAACCAGAAACTTCAACATTACATTTCAACCACAAACTTCAAGACCAAAGTTTAACCAGAAACTTCAAAGATTATGGTTCAACCAGAAATTCCAAGATTACTGTAAAGTCTTGACATTGATCTTGTAAGCCAATACAGGCCACTATTAGAAAGTAAATTCTCCTTCAAAGATAATCTATCTTTTATCAACATTTACTCTACAACTACTTGGAAAATTTATCTTTCAAAATTACAAGATGGAGACAAAAATAGTATTGTTTAATCACTATGGCAACCAGAAGACACTTCCTGTCAATTCTAGGTCATCGGTAGATAAGTGGAACACTTAACGAAACATTAAAATGGCATGAATGGATGAGAAGTCGTCTTAGAAAGATGTTTATTTTACTAAAGACATCGTTATTTTCCATTAAATTTATTGAGTTACTTATCAAGTGTTGTCCTTTGTACGCAAATTTCTCCTTCAAATTCTCACAATATCAATACCATGACGACATGATAAATGGCCAACAATGTCGTGTATTCGGTGATTTAATTGGCAGCGATATCGATACCCTACTTCATAAAATCTCTATCAATATCGTGGAAGAAATAATTTATTTATTTTGTGATAGAATATCAGCTTTTACTTCATTAGATAAATAAATCTGCAAGCTCTTGAATAATAAAGTAGAACTAGCGACACATTTTTAAGACACTCATGCAAAAAGATGACGACCAACTCTTTCAAATTATCCAGCTTATGAGTATACTTGCTGCAACATGATACAGATCCAGAGAATAAACTGTTTCTAAGAAAAAATTTATTTGTTCTTTGAGGGCAATGCTGTTTTTCATGTAAAATTTGAACAAACTTTCTCGAGTAGGCCTACCTTGAAAGTTATTAATCTGATAGAGAATCTCTTACAAAAAATAACATGTAACTGGAATATCTACAAAAAAATCTTTTAAATTGATGTCTTTCTCCATGATTTGTGACAAATTTATCATCTAAATGTTTTACAAGTAAACCCAATTTACAGGTAATGAATCTATTCTGTAGAAATCTTCCAGTTCAGCCTAGTTTTATTGTATAAATTATCATTTAAATGATGTGAACTTGTATTACACCCAGGATACCATTGTTACAGTTAAATATATTACATTTTATTGTCTTCTCTCAAGGATAAAACTAGTTTAACTTTAAAGTACAGAATACATGTTAATTGTTAAGTAAAGAGAAAGTCTATAAGTTAAAATCTAATTTCAGCTCCTTTTAAGAAGTTTTGTTACATACATTCGAGAAACCATTAAAGCAAGAATGGTTTGTTACATACATTCGAGAAACCATTCAAGCAAGAATGGTTTGTTACATACATTTGAGAAACCATTAAAGCAAGAATGGTTTGTTACATACATTTGAGAAACCATTAAAGCAAGAATGGTTTGTTACATACATTCGAGAAACCATTCAAGCAAGAATGGTTTGTTACATACATTCGAGAAACCATTCAAGCAAGAATGGTTTGTTACATACATTCGAGAAACCATTCAAGCAAGGAAGGTTTGTTACATACATTCGAGAAACCATTCAAGCAAGAATGGTTTGTTACATACATTCGAGAAACCAATCAAGCAAAGGAAGGTTTGTTACATACATTTGAGAAACCATTAAAGCAAGAATGGTTTGTTACATACATTCGAGAAACCATTCAAGCAAGGAAGGTTTGTTACATACATTCGAGAAACCATTAAAGCAAGGAAGGTTTGTTACATACATTTGAGAAACCATTAAAGCAAGAATGGTTTGTTACATACATTCGAGAAACCATTCAAGCAAGGAAGGTTTGTTACATACATTTGAGAAACCATTAAAGCAAGGAAGGTTTGTTACATACATTCGAAAAACCATTAAAGCAAGGAAGGTTTGTTACATACATTCGAGAAACCATTCAAGCAAGGAAGGTTTGTTACATACATTCGAGAAACCATTCAAGCAAGGAAGGTTTGTTACATACATTCGAGAAACCATTCAAGCAAGGAAGGTTTGTTACATACATTCGAGAAACCATTAAAGCAAGGAAGGTTTGTTACATACATTCGAGAATCCATTAAAGCAAGGAAGGTTTGTTACATACATTTGAGAAACAATTAAAGCAAGGAAGGTTTGTTACATACATTCGAGAAACCATTAAGCGAAGAAGGTTTGGAATTCCAAAATAGGCATTTCAATGAGCAGAAATGTTACAACAATGAACTGGGAACACTGATAGCATCAATTTGCACATTTCTAATCTTCAATAAGACCTCTGTGTTCCTTGCAATTTCACTAAACTGAGTGTTTTATGACTTAGTTATTGCAAAGGCCAAAAGTGATGCAATCAGTCTCGGATACACATAAATAGTTAACAGTCTATTGAACAGTTGCCTCTACAGCTTGTTATAGTATCAACAGCTCAAAAATGTTATACTACTCTTTTTTAATGTAAAGTGTTCATGTGAAAGTTTCAACAAGTTTGGCCTTTCAACTGTTGTATATTTAACAAGGGTGGTTTAAAGGTAAGCTCTGATAAAAAAACTACTATGTTTATACCTTATACTTTTACCTGACTTGTCAGTGTAGTGTACCTATATGGGGGCTCGAAAAAGTATTGTTTAATAAATTTAAGCAAGGAAAGGCATATATCTCTAACCACAGACTGAAATGGCTGGGTCTAGGCTGAGCTATCCATTTTTCAATACATCAAGTGTGGATAATGATTCCCATGATCAGCGTTCTGATGTCTTTACAGATGGATGCCTTTTAGTTCTGGCACTGAAACAAGTCTTGATGAGGGCAGAGCCTCCCAGACTGTGGGGTAACAACCCCTTGTTGTAAGTTCACAGTTGAACAATACCCAGTTAAACTAGAAACCTGGTAGTTTGTTTTTCTATTATACAACTTTTACTGCTGATTTTGACACTCTGTGGACAAGATTTTTTTGTCTTGCTTGTTCGAATGTTTATTTCATACAGGCTGTTTTTTTTTTACAAGAATTTCTCTTTAAAGGGTGCTTGTTTAGTTTACTACAATGATAAATGTAATCTGTCAATGAAATTTAAAAAATGGCTCTTATTAACCTATTGTTAAACATTATGTTATAAATCTTTTTTAATTTACCCCATTTGTTGTGACTGAGACTCTTTTTTACTATACATCATAACCACCTGTATGGAGTTAATGCCCTGCAATAAAGAATTCAGACTTGCCAGTTTTACAAATTTCTTTTGAGACCATGTAGATAATTTTGTGGCCCCTTCCACATCTAGTGATTAATAGAAATGCTACTGCACCACAACCCTTTAACTCTCAATTACCACTCAATATAAAACTGACTCCAGGTCTTCAAATGAAAACAATTACAATCGTACTACCAGTAATTGAACAATAATCAAGGTCTCTGATTGGTCAATCTTGTTATAACCATTATATGGACCAATTAAAATGTTTAAAATAGACAGGATAATATTTTATCAAGTTAACACCCTTTATCAACTTTAAACTTCAAATAACAACAAACATCTTAATCGAACAATAATCAAGGTTTCTGATTGGTCAATCTGATTATCACAATTAATCAAATCTGTTAAAAAGGACACCCAAACCACATAGCGTTAAATATATATAATAATAATTCAGGTATATCCTAATTGAATAACTTTATACATCTCTGATTGGTCAATCTGGTTATTACCATTTTATTAGTGAATCAAATCTGTTAAAATAGACACCCAAACCACATACAGTTATATTATAACCACTAAATAAAAGGCTGACTAACTCTTCAACTTACAACAAACATCTTGTTATAACCCGTTGTTGACTTGCACCCTTTTTATCAATAAGATTTCAAATGTATGTAAACATCCACCAGGAGAACAGATTCTAAAATTAACTTCAATTGCTGTTTGAATTAAAAATAGCCTGGAGATAACTGTGAACTGCTTGACATACAAAAAGGATATCAAGTTAGTCTTTTCAGGCAAATTGAAGCTACAAAGAAGGCTGTTTTTCTCTTATAATGTTTATCTTTAATTCTTTGTCTAAGAGTTTTCAACCTTTTTCTTTCTATAGCCCCTTTAAGATCCTAACTCGATTGCATTACCCCCTTCCCTTATAAATCCTTAATATTTGGTGATCTTCACTTATGTTTTCGCAGCAATTTTTTTCATGTTAGAGAAAAAAGCCTGACTGAATAGAACAACTTCAATTATATATTTGTCAAAGAAGTTTTATGCTAAACTACTCAAAATTTCATTATCCGCAGGTTGAAAACCTCTGCTTTAAAAAAATGTTTTGATTCTGTAAATATCACATTTTGACCTTTGGATTGTTATCAGGATCATTAATTTTTAACCATTTTATCTGACTATTCATGAATATTACTAGATTTTTCATATTATCAAAACCATGCATAAACTCTTTGTAATGGTGATTTTTAATTATTTATCAGACAGTTTTGATTGTGTTTGGCTATCTGTGCCTCATTCATAAAGATTACTCTATCTTTCATACAATCAAAATCATGAAGGTAACCTTTGTTATGTTGATATTTAATTTTTATCCAACAGTCTTGATTCTGTAGAACTATCTGTACCTCATTCATAAAGATTATAATATCTTTCTGACAGTAAAAAATCATGCATAGGCCCTTTGTAATGTTATCAGGATCTTTTAATTTCTCAATTATTTAGGACTATCTGCACAATATTTATGAAGCTTACTTGATCTTTCTGACAATGATATTCAGCCATGTAGATTTACTATTACATGTACCCTGAATCTCGTCTGTCTATGTTATATCCCATGTAATGTCTAGAACTAACTATCTATCTACTGACTCCAGTGTTTGTAACAACAGGTATAGGTGAAAGAGAGTGGTGTTGAAGTTATGTCTGAATCGTGTAAGATAGAAAGAAACAAGGTAGATTATATAACACAGTTTGTACCAATATTTAAATTTGTCTAGTCTACATAAATAAACATAACTTTTAATTAGTATATAAGACCTTTATTCAGGACTATTTCATTACTTTTCTTGGATAAATAAACATAACTTTTAATTAGTATATAAGACCTTTATTCAGGACCATTTTATTACTTTTCTTAAATAAATAAACATAACTTTTAATAAGTATACAAGACCTTTATTCAGGACCATTTTATTACTTTTCTTAGATAAATAAACATAACTTTTAATTAGTATATAAGACCTTTATTCAGGACCATTTTATTACTTTTCTTAAATAAATAAACATAACTTTTAATAAGTATACAAGACCTTTATTCAGGACCATTTTATTACTTTTCTTAAATAAATAAACATAACTTTTAATTAGTATACAAGACCTTTATTCAGGACCATTTCATTACTTTTCTTAGATAAATAAACATAACTTTTAATTAGTATATAAGACCTTTATTCAGGACCATTTTATTACTTTTCTTAGATAAATAAACATAACTTTTAATTAGTATACAAGACCTTTATTCAGGACCATTTTATTACTTTTCTTAGATAAATAAACATAACTATTAATTAGTATATAAGACCTTTATTCAGGACCATTTTATTACTTTTCTTAAATAAATAAACATAACTTTTAATTAGTATATAAGACCTTTATTCAGGACTATTTCATTACTTTTCTTAGATAAATAAACATAACTTTTAATTAGTATACAAGACCTTTATTCAGGACTATTTCATTACTTTTCTTAGATAAATAAACATAACTTTTAATTAGTATACAAGACCTTTATTCAGGACTATTTCATTACTTTTCTTAGATAAATAAACATAACTATTAATTAGTATACAAGACCTTTATTCAGGACCATTTCATTACTTTTCTTAGATAAATAAACATAACTTTTAATTAGTATACAAGACCTTTATTCAGGACTATTTCATTACTTTTCTTAGATAAATAAACATAACTATTAATTAGTATACAAGACCTTTATTCAGGACTATTTCATTACTTTTCTTAGATAAATAAACATAACTTTTAATTAGTATATAAGTACTAGTAGTTTTCTTTTTTCCTACACTTTTTTTTATTCATTCATGTTTTGATAATAAACATAGCTTTTCATTCATTCATTCATTTTTCTACATAAATGAACACAGCTCTAAACTAGTTTCAAATCATTGACGACATTTCATTTATATTCATTCTCTAATCCATCCATCCATCCATTGCTACACTACCTTAAGCTGATTTCAATTGTTCTATTATTCATTCAATAAATATTCTGAAATTGTTATTAAATTCATTCATACGTGGATCATCATATAAGCTGTATGACTTTTCTATTCATCAAATTGGTGCCAAGTTTTATTGAAGGCAAGAAAACATTTGGTTAACAGAACTACAAGACTAAACAATTTATGAAACAATTGTAAGATTAACTATTTCCAGATGTAACAACATCAGAATAAGTTGTAACATATGTAACAGTAACAAAGGTTATTTATCTAACAGTTACAAAAACACTGGAATATTCTGACCTTTGACCCTACTCCATTACATACCCTCAGGTAAGGTAGTACAGAATGTCTGCTATGCTAAATAGTGGTTAATACCAGGAGACTAAAAAACTCTACATGTGTAAAACAAATTATGTGTGTACGAATTCTAGCACAAAATAAAGAGTGCATATGTACTACAGATAGTTTGTATCCTAGTAAAAGGATATCCTGGTATAATAT